CTAGCTTGAAACAAGCAAACACCTGGCATGAAAAATGGCCCTGTTGCCATGAGGTTATGTACATGCATGGCAGACATTCTTTGGCATTAGCTGTGGCTGGAGTTATGTTGCTCCACGCATGAGCTATTGCACAAGCTGATTTTGAAACTCCTGCTTTACTTGTACAGGTGCAGACAGAGACGTAATGAGACCTTGGGTCAATGCATCCTATAATTTTCTAGGTGGGAGGGAGAGCCGACCTGGGTGATTAATTACTGACATGAGTCATATAATAAAAAAAGAAATACATCTAACTCCCATGTCACTTTTCTGATGCTTGTGTGAGAAAGAAAAATAGTCTGTGGGCGGCCAATCATTTCACAAATAAAAATACAAAAACTCCCTACAGCAGGAGTCACCGCCACTCACTCAAGTACACATGCAGATACTGCTGTCAGAGGCTGGGCAAATCAGTTTTAGGAAGAGGGTGTGAAATACAGAGAGCTCCTGATAAAGCGGGCCAGCTGAGAGCCTGTCTGCACAGGACAAATCACTCTTCCTCGGGCTATCTTGAAGCATTTGCACTGCATACAGTTCCACAGTCGCCCCAACAAGCTCTATCGCAAGTTGAGAAAGCAATTGTTCATAATGAATAATTCAAGAGTCTGACTAATAAGCAGTCTTGAGAATTGGCAAACTAAAACCCCTTTGGTTCACACACTGATTCTGGGTGCAATCGTATGGGCAACACTTAGAGTGCAACGAAAAGACGGATGATGATGTTTGACGTCAAAGGTCGCCAAAGTAGCAGCGTTACAACAAGTCTTTGTCCTGACTGTGTTATCAGTTCTGATCGTTTTATGTCATCTATGAGAACTAAAACGTATACCCTGAAAAACAAATCCAAGCACACCACCAGAAGACTTCAGTTAGCTCCCAGAGCTCTGTGGACTTCATCTTCCTCTGTTTAGATTTCCACACACTCCTCCTTGAAGCAGTTCGCTGGCAGACTAATTCAGCATCAAAATCACATCAAAGAAGAATACAGTTCTGTCTCTAATAAATCTTGTGAGGAAACGAAGCACATTTGCTGTCTGTCTATTTATATTATGACCTGTAGCTGCAACTAATGTGATAATTGACTGAAAATGTAATGAAATGTACAATTAACAATCCTGTACTAAAATGTAACAAAGCCCAATAATCTTTTTTTTTTCAAAAGGATGATTTTGTACTTTGGACAGATATTGTAATATTATGTTCACTTTCAGCCCACAGGTGTACATTTTGTGAATAAATAATTTCGTATACATGGGATCATACAGGGGCTGCAAGGTGGCGCAGTTGGTAGCACTGTTGCCTCGCAGCAAGAAGGTTGTCGGTTCGCGTCCCAGTGGGGGAACCAGAATCTTTCTGCGTGGAGTTTGCATGTTCTCCCCGTGCAGCGTGGGTTCTCTCCGGGTTCTCCGGCTTCCTCTCACACAGTCCAAAAACATGTTGAGGTTAATTGGTGATTCTAAATTGTCCGTGAATGTGAGTGTGCTTGGTTGTCTGTCTCTAAGTGTGGCCTGTGACCTGTCCCCCGCAACCCTAGTGAGGATTAAGTGGTGTATAGATAATGGATGGATGGTATCATACAGGCATATGCACATGGTCATACACTCAGGAACATGCAACAACACTCTGGTCTTATTCAGCAGGAGAATATCACCATGGTCTGAGCTGTAGACCTCAGATGACTGTTCCATGAACCTTCCTCTGCACTCTCTGTATCACAGATTTCTAACAAAACACTGCCTTGTGACAAAAAATAAATAAAACTCTAACAAAACAGCATCATTTAAAGGTGGGACACATAAGCATCCACAGCATTGACATACAAACTACATGACATCTGACATAAACAAACATCCATCTATCCACTATCTATACACCGCTTAATCCTCACTAGGGTCATGGGGAGCTGGAGCCTATTCCAGCTGACTTAGGGTGAAGGCAGTGGACATCCTGGACAGGTCGCCAGTCTATCACAGGGCCACACTTAGAGACAGACAACCAAGCACACTCACATTCACGGACAATTCAGAATCACCAATTAACCTCAACATGTTTTTGGTGGGACAAAAAACATGTTGAGGAAGCCGGCGAACCCGGAGAGCACCCACACTGCACGGGGGGAACATGCAAACTCCACGCAGAAAGATCCCAGTGCCCCCATCAGGATGCGAACAGGTGTAGTATTGCATATGGACCCCCTTGAAAATGGACCCGGGGTCCATAATCTGCAGCGGAAAATGGACCCTCCCTATAAAATATGGACCCCCCACAAAAATGTGCATAAAATTTAGGGTTAGAGTTTAGGTTTAGGGTTATAATTAGGGTTAGGGCTTAGGTATAGGTTTAGGATTAGGGTTAGGGTTTAGGGTACATGACAGAGGTGGCGATAATCACAATTGCCAGCCTTCTCTCCACACCTATATGGACATTCTCACCCTTCGGACAGAGATACCGCTGGCAGTGCTACTCTCCAGATTTGCCATCACCATGTGTGCCATCAGGCAAATCCATGTTTTTGAAGAACATGCACGAGCACTTTGAACCTGTTGTTACTGTTTCAAAGTTTACCTAAAATAAAATTGTTATTCATTACCTGTTGAATTTTGTTGTCTATGCTGATATTTATTTATATTATCAAAATTATTAGGGGGGTCCATATTCTATATGGGGGGTCCATATTGCGCTGCGGAAAATGGACCCTGGGGTCCATAAACTATGGGTGTCCATTTACAATGTTACACCAGCAACCTTCTTGCTGCAAGGCAACAGTGCTACCAACTGCGCCACCTTGCATATGAAGCTCAAAGTTTTTGTCTAACAATGTTGTAATTCCCAATTTGAGGCTTTAAACCTTGAAAATCTGAGGATTGCCAAGTGGTAAATATGGCTTCCAATAGGTTTTGGATACACTGGATGGCTTAACCTCTTCTGGCCTTTGACATTACTTGAAAAACAACCACTGTTTGAACTCAAGTACTCTCACTTGCTGCTGCTCATGGCTTGGTTTGTGCCTCCATATGGATCAATGTGTGTCCACAGCTGCCCCTGGAGCCTACGCAAACAGTTTGTGTGAAAGGGATCCCCAGCAAATCCCCGGCACACCTGCCTCACAGCGCAGACGACCCTCGTAACTGTACTGATATTACTCAGCCAATTTACTGTCACATCCTCTATGAGCGATGCAGTCCTCGTTATCAGTCTCATCCTGTGCACTGAGAAGATGAATCGGGGGTGCGGACTCACACTCACAGTGACTGTGAATGTTAGACATTTAAAGTTGGAAAAGGCACTGATATAACACAGTGCATGTGCTTATTTAATTTAGCTGCAGTGGGAGAATCACAGAGAAGATAAAACATTATTTGTACTGAGTTTGGGCACATGACTACATGAGGTCATCTTGTGGAGGATTTTTTAGAAAACTTCTTTCTAATGTTTGCTGTTAGCTTCTGCAATAGTCTTGTCCAGCGTCATTTGGAAAGATTTTACGAGTGATTTAATAGTGCTGCTGATACAGTTTGAACTTGCTGGACAACTACTAGATGAGTCACACATGAATCACTTGAATGATTCACAATTAAAAACAGAAATGTCAACACTCTTTACACGGTCCCATCTCATTGCACCACAAGTAGGTGCCATCACAACATGAATGCTGTTTTTCATCACACGTTAAGCAAAAAACGTGCTACAGCGCAGGCGGTCGACAGCTTTGGCAACACACGCTGCTTCGTGTTCAGCCCACAAATTGGACTAATAGCTGAATATTCAAATGACAAATGACTGCTTTATCCACCTAACATGTCATTCAGTTTTGTTGGCTTGACAAAAATCTGTGAAACTCTGAACACACTAACTGTCATCACATTATTGGTACCAGAACAATCCAGAATACTTCCCCATTTAATATCCAAAGCAAACACCCCTGCCTCCAAAAAACAAAACATCTCTTTTCACGCACAACCTTGGTGCTGATTCAGGTGTTTTGAAATGACTGAGACAGCACCGCTTCCCCTTGCTACACGCTCAGTCAGCTGATTCATTACATTACAACGAAGCTGTTTTAGTCATGTCAACACACAGTTTAAACACTCCCGATGGAAACCTACACACCACTCTGCAGTGTAATGGGATGCAGTTGCAACACTTAACAACCAATCCAAAACAACACACACATCAGCGCCATCAGTATTCGGATCTTGTTATCACTACGGGATGAAAGAACAGCTCCAGAAATGTGGAGACAGATGGCGAGTGTAAACAAACTCCTGAGGAGACCAGCGTCTTAGGCAGAGCAACTCCATCAGGCTCCTCGATCTGTGATTAAACTGGGAAGCGCAGAGAATTGTTGATCCAGGTTTAGGAGGTGATCCCCGGTAAACACAACGCTGCTGTCACAGCTCGAAGCAACAGGGGCAAGAGGACATATTCATCATCCACAGGGAAGCAGGACAGGGGCAGAAACAAGTGCCTTTGGCAGAGCTGGGAAATGTGTGCCTGCCAAGCTGTGTTTTCACCGAAGGTTTCAGTGTTGTCACACAGTACGAAGGATCCGCTGTATGTGTGGAGTCATCATGAACATGGAGTCAGACCTGCCGAAGATTAGACCTGCTCAGTCAGTAATAACATTAGCTGGCGCTCTCTCTGTATTTGTGCAGAGGTTTAAGTGGTGCTAAATCAGAGCCTCCTTAAGCCACAAGAAGCTCCCTCTATTTCTGTCCAACTGTTTGTTTTCATCTCTGGTGGAGCCATGTGTTCAAGCCAGCGGTTACACGAGCACAGACGAGCACATGGTTATTCAGCAGGTGATGGAAAATAATGGAAGACATGGAAAAATAATTCTAAACTAACAGCAAAAATGATTTTAGCCAGAGAGTTCTGTGATGTGGGGCAACAGCAATGAAGGAACACATGTCACCAACCAATCAGCAGAAAGCTACACTGCAACACAGAGTTTACTTTACCTGGTGCTTGCTCGAGTGGCTCGACAGCTGGACACAAGAACGTCTGAAGGCTCGACACGCACAGTTCACTCACCGTCCCCATAACTACGGTGTGTGGTTTGTGTATCTGTGTATGAAGGTATGTCTCTGTTAGCAGCTGTGTGACTGTCCCTCCTTATAAATCAGACAGAGAAGGGGAGCCGTATGGTCCCAGGCTTGCCACTGCGGCTGCAGAAAGTCACTCTCTTCTCCCGGCCGTTCTGTCCATCGAGAGATTCCCACTGCAAGGTCCTCCTCTGTGTCGCTTTGCCTCATTTAATCCCCCTGTCGGATGGCTTCGTTGCTCCTCAGCACTCATTCACACTCACGTACTTTCTCTTCCCTCTTCGATCCGAATGTGCAACTTGCTGGGAAGCTAAATTCACTTCTGCTTTCTCCCTGTTCCCCTTTTTGTGCTGGCATCTCAGCCTCCCTCCATCCTCCTGCTCTCTCTCTCTCTCTCTCTCTCTTCCTCTCTCACTCGCACTCTCTTGCTACTTTACATACTAATGCAAGCAGATCTTCTCCAGCCTAAAACACCGTGGACACAAATGGAAACGCCAGGTGTGTGGAAAACACACTGTAGATTATTGTATCCAGGGGCTCTCGCATCAACAAGTACACTTGGTAAAATCTTAAAACACAACTACGACAGGAAAAGTCGATGCAGGAAATAATTCATTTTTCATGAGAATCATCACTGTCAGGAACACGTCACTGTATGGTCCTGTGCAGATACGGAGTTTGATCTCCACCCTCTGTTGCTTTCATTTTCCAGTCACTCATCATTTTTAGAATCAAAAGCCTTGTATATAAAAATAAAGATTTCATTGTTGCTTGGCAACAGTGTAGAAGAAATGATTTGCTCCTGGGCAAAACACTGTAAGCCATTTGTTTTGATTAGATTATTTTCACACTTATTGAGGGTTACTCACCGCAACACAGTCACATTTTGGTGTCTTGCAACCACAACACACACTGGGTTTATACACGCCCTTGCTACAAAATAAATGGGTTTGGTTCTGCCACAGATGTGTTCGTAATCAACAAATTCATTGTGGATTTTTGTTTCCTCTTGTGGAGCAAAGCAGAAATGTTTACCTTCCCTCATGACCCAGCATGACTTCACCTGCCGCTCTGAATTAGTCCACTTGACAGACACAAAGTGTCTCTCGCTCCTTTACAGCCTCTCTCATTCAGCGTCAGTCATTAATTAATTCTTCAACTCTGCCTTGTCTGTCAGTCATGCTGCCATCAAGGTCAGCGACTCAGGCTGGGTAACAACTGCTCATTGTGATGAAGCAGATCTGAGACACGCTGCATTTGTAGGGCTTGCATGGCTGTGACATTACTCTTGATCCAACAAGCACTGCCCAGTTCATCGCCAGAGGGCCAATGGCTTCAAACTGACCCCTGCATGAACTGCAAAGTCAGTCCTTGCTACTTTAAATGCTGCAGCTGCACATCACCCAGAGGAACAGCACTGTCGCAGGAGAAACAGCGACACGGCACACAGTGAAGTCAGCATAAATGTTTCTCCTCTTTTTTCAGTATTCCTCCCCCTCTGCTCGACTCCACATTGTAGGTGTATAAAAAGTGCAGTCAATCAAAGGGCAGAGGCCCCAGATTCCTAAAATGTTCCAATTTACACTTTTACATCGGTTTTTTGAAAGTTATAGGTAGTTATAGACTTACATGTGCAGCCCAGTCAATATAAATATTCATGATTATGAAGAAAGAACAAAGGAACTGTGAGGAAGTATGTTGCTTTCTGCTCGTTAAATTTGCATAACTTACTAAATCGACAGTAACCGATTACAAATTGAGCTTCACAAGTTTTAAAAGTAGCTGATCCTGCCGTCTGTTTCCAGCTGGTTTGTGGGCGGGGAAACTCCCTTTAGAAATTTCACACTGCAGTAAAAATTTGGTGCAGGAACAGTAGTTAAATGTGTGCCTGCAACATGAGACAAACAATTTGTCAGTGTCTTCATGTAGTTGTCTGTACAGTACTTTGGCCCTGTCTGGAACTACACTGAAACCACATGATCAGCTTCCTTGAGCAGTACATGCCACCAAGTGGACAAAACATGTAACAACACTTTTATTCTTTGCTCACCAAGCCAAACAGAAGGCCTCTGGAGTTTAGTTTTGAATTCAGCTATGAAACTATGTGGGTTGAACAACTGACTGCATAAGCAAATATTACAAGCAGAAACCCGTCAGCTGCCTCGCAGAGGTTCTGATAAAAATCAGTCATACGCTTGTCTTCAAATAATCAGGTAGGCTGGGAAGTTATCTGTTTGATGACAGAATTTCCCCAGCTGAATCCCTAATCTACAGAAAGTGGATCTGTGTCGGTGGAACTCCTACATAGCAGCCTAATGTTAGCATCACCTCTGCTCACTAACAACTGGCTGAGTGGAGGCAGAACCAGTGCCTCTGCTGATGCAGCTAAACTGAATATCCTCACCACAAAGGGTAAAGCTCCTGCACCAAAACATAGGCTGAATGTGATAATAACATCGTCCTGATTATAAGCTGTAGCACTGATTGCCAAGTTTTCATCCCAGCTGTTTCAAAACTCTAACATCCTGCCTTCATGTGCTATTTTTTTTTTTTATCTGCATCTCTTTTTGTTTAGTGTAGATTTAATTATGGGAGACAAAGGAATAATGTTTTCATCTGGTTTCATCAATCAGCTTAATTTAGAAGAATAATTATTTATACATCTTTCACTCACACTAAAGAAGGAAGAACAGCTGCTGCACAGTTTGCCTCAACTTTGAAGAGGCAAACTTCAACTTCTTCTCTTTTTATAGCTTTTGATTTCCATGTCACAGTATTTTTTTCATTGGGAACAAGATATGTCTGCATAAGTCCACTGAGATTTTGTTGCTGCTGCTGCTGCTGCTGCTGTGACAGTCTGAGTATGCTTTGAACGTGAGCAGAGCTAGGAGCTCGAGTAAACCTGTCATCACGCAGGTAGAGGGTGACAGTGGGAAAACAACATATTACAGGCCAGTTGAAGCATCTATATTTCTCTCACGTCAATCACTCACTCAAGGAGGAGGGGTCAAACAGAGAGAGAGAGCGATGACACAGTTAACCACAGTAACCACACGCACCTGTCACTGGAGCGCACCACGCCTATGAACACACGCACTGTTTCCTTTGTGCGTGCAGATTTCATTATGCAAAGAGACACCAAGCTGCACTCACAGGTGCAGGTAGATGGCAAAGTGCACAAGGAAAAAAAAAAAGATACAACGAAGAATTTTTAACACCTTGCAGCTCAAACGCCTTTGAAATGAGTCTTGAAATAGAGCCGCACCCAACGAATCCCAAGATAGCTGGTTTAGGGCACCAGCACCTCGCAACATGCAATAATACAGTATGATCATCCTGCCATGAATTTTAGAAGGGAATTGCACATATATCACTACAAGGCTATAAAATATACAGATTATCCTCAGACACGCTCTAGTCCTCCACACAAATGTAACATTTCAAGTCGCATAAGTCTGGTCAGCATTAATAATAAACTAAAAAGGGGGTAAAAAAAAAACATGTTTGCGCCTAAATAAAGTGAAGTCTGTGAGACTTGAGTCTTGACAGCGGATGGGTTTCTTCCATCCTCTCTCCTCAGACTTCAATTATGCTTAACAGTCATGGTGCTCAGGGACAGAAGAGATGATATGACTTGCACTTACTCATTCAGATCCACAAGCTGTCAATTTGACTAAGACGGCGTCAGGGACAGTGAGAGTGTTATTTGAATGTGGTGGGAGCTTCAGCATGGCTCCTCTCTTATGCCTCGCACTTTAGCACATAAATTACATAATTGTCAAGTGATTCTTCAGCTGCATTGCAAAGAGGAAAGCACTGACAAGGGAGGACGCCTGCAAATAAATATTATTATACTGTTCAGAAGACATACTGTAAGGGCTGCCCAGACTGCCAAGTTACTACTGGATGGTGTATGCAGATTGCTCTTTTGCCAGAAGCTGAGATGCAGAAAAATTGTATGAGAGCGCAAATCAATCATCCCAAAAAACACACTTCTGCTTAGATTAGACTAAAACTTTCTGCCAAACACCAGCCCTCCCACTTTCTAACAGAAAATCAGTTGAAATCTCGCAATGAGGCCATTGCTGGGGGTTCTATTTTGAGATGCATTGAGCTCACAGAAAACCTAAACTGCTAAATAATTGAGATGACGCCTCTATCATCGCCTAAGCTGAGCCATCACTGTGGCTCATCGTGGCCTGACATCATCAGGCAGGTCACCCTATATATGATGTCAGGCTGAGGTTCCTGTAAATGGGGGGGGCCAGTTTTAAAAGAAAGCATTTTGCAAAATCTGTGTCATCTAATGAGCCAGTTGACCTCAGCAGAGATGATGGCATGGTATGAACAAACCACTTTGGATCAGGCAAATTCCCTTAAGAGGAAAAACTTTCTCTCCCTTCCTCCCTGCATATATTTCCAGTGTAAATATGTGGATTTGTTTTAGTGCCCAACATGCTGTCACAGCTGCAGTGTGATGGTTAATAATTCAACACGCAGATCTTTTTATATCTCTTTGACTGTGAAACACCACAGAGGCCACCTGTTTTTTAAGCTTGTTTATAAAAAATAAAAAACCAACAGGGTGCTTTCTTTGCGTGTCTACATGAGATAAACGCCCCACTGCACAGCATGGCATATAGACTAGTTTGTTGTGTGACATGCTGTAATTCAAGAGTCCCACCAAGCAGGCAGACTGGCAACACGGCTCAGTAGACTACAGTCTGGCATCTCCTGGCACAGCTGAGCACGACCACGGTAGACGGCAATGCAGAAAGCATATGTGTCGGGGTGTAAGCGGGCTGTGATGAAGACAAACCGTAAGTCTCCCCCTCCATCCTGGTGGTCCTGATGCTGCTTGTAGGCGTCCCTGTCCGGGGGATGTCTCTCTCGCCGAGCGCCCGCAGCGATCCGGATACCTGGCGTCCCTTTCTCGTCTCTTCTCTGCCTGTCGCTCACCTCCGAACTTGACAGCAGACTCTCGCAGACGTAAGCTCGCTTAAATGTGCCACTTTTTTTTAGCTTGTTGCTGTTTTGTTTGCACCTGCAGTTGTCGTTCCAGACTAGCGCTCGTGCCGCCGACGCTGCTGCTCGCTGGTATGCAGCCGGAGCAGCACGCCTGGCCCCGCCCACCGCCGCGTGACGTCACTCACCTCCAACTTTGCTGAATATTAATCAGTTTTGTCATTTACTGAGTACGGCATCGATTTTGAGAGTTGTTTTGCTGCAAACACAAATGCAACAATTATATATATATATATATACACACACAAAATTTGTTTTCAGGTGGGACAAATTGTACAAAAGCACAACTCAAGTCTAAATGAACAGCCTATAGCAGTGTGAGGGACTCTTTTTGGCCATTTGGAGGCAGTATGACACAGACACTTTCTCTGGTGATTACACCAATATTCACTCCTTTCGCTTCGCTTTTGGGCTCAACCGACTCCATCCATCCATTATCCATCCATCCATTATCCATACACCATACTAGGTGAGGGCTGGTGTCTATCCTGCAGGGGACACCCTGGACAGGTCACCAGTCTATCACAGGGCTACACAGAGAGAACAAACAACACACTCACATTCACACCTTCGGATAATTTAGAATCATCAATTAACCTCAGCATGTTCTTGGACTGTGGGAGGAAGCCGGAGAACCCAGAGAGAACCCACGCTGCACAGGGAAGAACATGCCTTTACAGCACCGGGTATTCCTAGGTGGTCTCCCATCCAAGTACCAACCAGGCCCGACTGCGCAAGATCAGATGGGACCGGTCGGTGTCACAGTGGTGTGGCTGTAAGCCCTCAACCAACCCCTGAGGGAAATGCCTTGAAAGGCTCTTTAAAGGTCTCATATCATTTATTCCACAAGTTCACCCTACGAACTCCAAGCTCCTGTCTTAGCTTAAACTCATTTTTCACTGCAATAGGAAGTCCTGCACCTCAACGGAAACAGCACAAGCACGGTGAAAAGTAGCTCTGCTAGTGTTATGCATTTGTAATGTACATAAATCCTAAAAAAAAAAAAAGTAAAAAATACTTTCATCGTTCATTCAAAAAAAAAAAAAAAAGAAAAAAGAAAAACTGGGCTTATCCTGTTGTGACATCACAACGGGCAGCAGACCTGAACACCTTGTTCAGAGACACATTTCCTGATCTATAGAGAAAGGGGAAAAAACACAGGGATGGTCTTTTCAAAGGTTTTGTGGATCTTTAGGCACATCGGGACAACACAGCTATGTTCAAGAACAATGAAATGGATTTTGCATAATATAGGCCCTTTAATGCATCAGCTAAGCGACATATCTGTCTGCCACATGGTGCTGCAAGTCGAGCTAGTTTAGAGCTTTTCACGTCGAAAAATTGAAAATAAGGGTATCAGTACAGTAAATTTGTTGGCTGACAATCAAATGGTTACACAGGCTAAATGTCACCTCATTTTCAGCGCCTTTTCAATGCTGACTATCCACTAAAGGCAGAAATGTCAAGGCAATCTTTAAAAAATGGTTGACTGGACAGCTATAAACAATGAGCTGAAATACAAAAACAACATCCTTCATACTGTCACACCGTTTTTCACGTTCAGGTTTCAGCATTTAAGATCGCACCTCATACAAATCAATGGTGCATAATAGGTAGTTTGGTTTTTATGGCACACATCCAGAGGTGACATAAGGATAAATATTTCTACCCTGACCATTGAAACCTTTTAGTAAATTAGTTCTTATCATGTAAATGTGACAGAAACTTGACACAGCTGAATTGGTCTAACAATGAACAATTACCAAATACAGAATTTGAAGCTGCACTGCTGTAAAATCATTTATACAATGTTAATAATATCTAAATTAATAACCTTCTGAATCGTATCACTATAACTTAGACATCACTTTATATAAGCAATAGAAGACAGAAGAAAAATGCACAATCGGCTCACAAAAGTCACAACTTTATTGCACCTTTTCAGTTAACTATAATGTGGTAAGAGCTACTTTCATTATGAAAGCTCTCTTCACTGGTCAGAAAAGGTGGTGCAAAATATAGAACCATCAATGCAAACGTGAACCGTCCATTCACTCCATTAATGTTCCTTTGTGTCAGTTTGAGAGTCTCACCCCTACGTCGATTTCCCCAACCGACAAACATATCTGGTGGAAAATTGGACCGCCGCAGCCTCTCTTGTACTGTACACACTACAGTGACAGAGTGAAGGTCTTGCATGAAAACAGACAACTCTCTTATACACAAATGAACAAACACATTTGCAGATAAATTCTCAAGTTAACAACCACCAACTAATCTGAGTATTAGTAGTACATTAAAGATCTGTGTCTTTTCTTCTTTAAATTATATATTTATAACATTAAATCCTATACTTTTTATAGCCAATTCAAGGCAACATCTCTAGAATGAAAAGAAATGCATGGGCAAATCTTTACAGCATTGGAGGGAAACACAGGTAGCACAAGATGGACTGTACAGTCTTCTACACTGGCAAAGCATTTTGTTATAACGTTAGTTTCTCTATGCATCTGTGCCCAGATTGGTGCAAGATGATCCCATGGTTTCCACACCTGAAACACTTTGTATAAAACAGTTTCTACAGGATGTACAGGATGCAACATGGTGGCCGGGGGGGGAGAGGGACTGCTTGGATATGAAACGGGGGAGTCTGATCAGAGATGATAGTGGGATACAGGAGGTCTGGTTACCTGAGTCTCAGCCCAGTTTCTAGGTGACCAACATGACCGTCAGAAAATTGCATAGAGATACAAGATACAAGGGGAATAAGTTATTGTTATGTGGCAGTCCCATTCTAACACAGTGCCTGAAGTATAAAATGTAACCCTTTTATTTCAGTACAGTGGTGAAGAACAGTTTGTGGCGAGTTCGTTACAGAGAATGTAAAGATCAAATCTTCAGACTGAGCAATTCTGAAAGAAGAACTGATGAGATGAGCTACATAGGTAAATAGCTGCACAGTAGAAAATAACTGCCCCTGCCCGAGTCCCTTCAGAAACCCCAACGTCTACTCTGCAAACGCACATTGCACTATGAGCCGCCAGGAAACGAGAAGGTACACGTAATCATTCAGATGCAATCGAACTAACAGCATCCAATGTGTTGTTCGCCAATATCATCCGCAAACAGTTGAACTGTTAAGGAACAAAAAAAAAAAAAAAAAAGGTACATAAGCAAGAATGCAGAACCAAGAAAAAAAAATCAGCTCAGGAAATATTTCTGAACCAGTTTATGCATGCATAATAAGAAAATGGTAATAAATTTAAACCTCAATTTTACCAACAACATGCAGGCAAAATTTGGTCCTTAAAAACAAGCCATGTGACACCGACACTGCAGTAAAATAAAATCACAGTTAACAAAAGGTATAAAACAAGACAATTATTAAGAAATCTAAAATAATATAGGTTTTAATTCATAAACAATTTTGGATCTGTGTAATTTGGTATAGAATAATTTCAGAAGGGTTTAAAAAAAAAAAAAAAAAAAGGTCACTTTTTTTAAAATGTCTAACTTGTTGAGCCCTTATGTCTGCAAAAGCAACACTCAACGCTCTGAGATTGAATGACGTTTTAACACATGAAAGCCAAAGAGTGACAGCCTACCTTTCACATATATGTTCAATTTTATTTCATCTCGAAGGAGCAGATTCGGGGCAATAACCAAGGCTCAAAGGATGCCAACATAGTAAGTAATTGCTATGACATGGACATGTGAGGGTTAGTTGTTAAATACTGAATGCATAGAAAAACTGCAGTCCCTCCCTGTGGCATTTGGATTCAAACGGGTCATAAGTAGTGAAATCCAGCTGGCCATTGGTGACAACATTTCATGTTGGTAAGTTTAAACCTGCCATTTACAGCCAAAGGGACTGCTGTCAGTGCAGTCTCATGTGCTGCTTTTGGCACATATCTTAGTCCTACATTTAGGGAACTGAAGTAAATACAAGAGAGAAGTTTTTCTTTAAAAAAAAAAAAAAAAAAAAAAAAGAGAGAGAGAAAAGATACAGAAGTTTGGTATACAGTTTTGTTGTCTCAATTTCCAGTCAGCAAGACCTCAGCAGCAATTGGATTCTCAGCGGCGGACTCCAAAAACTCTTTTTCCTCCGAGTGTTACAGACCACTTGTTCCGCCTGTCCTGGATCTTCTGGAAGATGCTGCTGCCACTTCGCCACTTCTCTCTTTTAAAGTTCTTTATTTTCTTCACCTGTTCATTTGTAGGCAAATAAAGGGAAATTGGAAAAGTCAGTTCCAGGATATATTGCACGATTATGGCCAAAATGATAAACAGGATTATTGTGATCATCATTAAAATCACAATTTTCAGTCATGATTATGCACTGTCACATCTAAATAAACAGCTGCTTTAAATTGCTTTCACCTCCATGGTGCACTACATTCCTGCTAATGAACACATCATTATATCAAAATACGACTTAAAAGAAGGTCCTAGGAAGTCAATGTATCTCCCACAGGACAAGTATAAATGAGAGTGTACCTAAAACATCTGTTTATTGATAGACACTACAACTTAGCAGTGCTCCCTAAATGGCTTTAAAACTGGCCACAGTAAAGAGGCTGTGCACAGAAAAGCCCCTAGTCTGCTCAGTTACTGCAGCGCATGCAACAGAGACAGGTGTTTGACTGAAAATGACATTTAAAAGAGGGAAATGAAGCATTCCAATGTTGATTTATCTGAGCTGAAAGCAAGTGATTTTTTTCTAAATGGACGCTTTTCTATGAGCAGAGCATGCATTTGAAAAGTCAATGTTTGCAGTCAATCTTAATATTTAATTGTGATCATGTTGTTATCATTTGATTAATTGTGCAGCCTGAGGTTATTGCTTCAGAACCACTTCTTAAGATGTGCTGCCTGAACATGATGAGAGAAGGAGAGGGTGCTGTATTGTTTAAAGACAAATAATGCCAACACATCCCTCCAGGGAAACAATGACAGTGTTGCACAAGATTGTCTCCATTAAAAACAGCCCCCCCCCCTCCGGGAATGCAGTTCAAACAGACTGTAAGCCATGTGGTTGGCAGCACTAAACTTGTGTTTTAATGCACAAGAAGAACTACATTTTATGTCATTATTCTTTAAATTTCTTGCCGTCTTAATTTTTCCCTCACCTTTCCCCTGTCGAAGTCTTCGTCCCACTCATCGATCACAGTGTCATGCTTGGCAATTCGAACATCTTCAATGGCATCTCTACTAATAGCAGAGACCTCACCATCCCAGCTGAGGACTAGTTCACACAAAAAACAACCTATTAATGCATATGGAAACTGTAGATATTTTTGCTCAATGATTTCAGTGAAATCAAAGCTTCACTGACCAAACATTTAGACTTATACATCACTCAGTGTCTCACCGTTGGCTCCATAGGCCTTATCTGTGGCGTTCCGGAGCAGTTCTTCTACCACCCCGCTAGACTTCTTTCCGTCCCAGGCTGCAGGAGCAGCACGGGTTGGTGCATCTCCTGACGCCCTTCCATCAGCCGCTGGCGCCTGACTACGTTTGTAGCCGTCCCTCACTTGGCTGTCCCACACCACCACTGCGGCTGGATTTGGAATAAAACAATCAGAAATGTATGAGAAAAACAATTACACAAAAGCTGAACTGTGATTAAATCTGGCATTCTCAAAATGTCCTGAGTCACGCTCCAGTCTAAGAGTGAAAATAACTGGTCACAAAGAAAGGCTGAGAGGCTGTGCCGCAACTGAGCAATTGTTTTGGCAAATGGCTCTCATCAATACAGCGGGCCATTGTGTCGGCATGGCAATAAGATCACTAACTCCTCAGTCGAGTTTTCATAACACATTTATTTTAAGTGCACGCTCACATACCTGTGCTTTGTTTGTTTGTTTTGTCACTCTCTGTGGTGTTCTTTTTAGAAGGGGGCTCCGCTGCTTCGGGCTCAGCGTCCGGACAACGCTTACTCTCCTTCCACAGTCGCACTTCTTCTTTGAGCCTTTTTTTCTTCATTTTTAATTTCTTTTTCAACATTATCAAATCTTCTGTATTATTCTGAATGTCCGTGGTCTTCATCTCAGAGTTGCTGTTGCTGGAAAAAAAGTAGATAGGCTATAAATAATAAAAACCATAAAGCAGCCAGCGGGTTGTTATAGAAACAAATGTAGCAGCAACAGATTTTCCAACAGGGCTGCAACTAACCATCCCTTTTATTGTCAATTAATCAGCTGACTGTTTTCTGGATTCACTGATTATTTGTTTGGTCTGTAAAAAGTCAGAAAATGTTGAAAAATGTTTGTCAGTGTTTCCTAACACCCAAAACTACAAAAGTTTTGAGCACAAACTAAAACTATTCTGTTGACTGTCACGGTGGAAGAAAGGAAGCAGAAATTTTTACGTTTAAAAAAATGAAATCAGAAAGTTTTGGCTGTTAATCTTAAAAAAACATAGTGATTAATCCATTATCAAAAGAGTCGGCAAAAGAGCACCTGGCAAGGAAAGTAATAGTTCAGAACTGATCAGATTAGTGGACTTATCATTGCAGCTATAATGTCCAAGTTGTTAGCTTAACCTGAACTTAAGACGGTAGTTTTTGAAGAGAACAAACAAAAACACATCAAACGATAACTTCAACTCACCTTTCTGATGCAGAGCATGCAGAACTTGTGTCCTGCAGAGCCTCTCCCAGCTGAGCCATCTTCTTTTTCTTCTTCCTCTTCTTCAGCACAGAGTCCCTATTCTGTTCTTCCTGATTTGACTCACATTGCGTTGGGGTTGCGGCAGATAACTGAGGCTTCTGCTTCGACTGCTCTGCATTAGAATGAGATGTTAGACTCCACATGCCACCCTGACACCAATCCTCCTCCTGGCTTGATGCGTCCAAATGAGATGGGACACACTCCCTCTCCTTCGTTTTCTCTCCATCCTCATTCTCCCGCTTGCACTTTTTCTTTTTCTTCTTGCACTTCTTCTCGCTGGCTGACTCCACAGGGCTGGACAGTGTCATCTGAGCTGGGGATGTGACTGGCTCTGCATCACCCTCCACCTCAGAATGCCGCCGCTTCTTTTTCTTCTTCTTCTTCTTCTTTTGGTTGCTTTGTTGAGCTTCAGGGTTGCTGAGGTCTGTATCTTGGACCACAGAATTAAGGTTGCTGGAAGACTTGGGACTCTTTGGGCCAGGACAGTGAAGCCCGTTGGTTCTAAGAGAAAGGCTGGCGTTTGGTTTTTGCAGTGTGGAGAGAAGGGATTGTTTTTGAGGGCTCTGATGTTTGAAGGATCCACTTGAGTGGGCTAAAGGTGATGACTGGACTTTAGGTGAATGGAATGGACCAGCTCTGGGGGGGAAAAAAGAAGAGAACATCTGAATTAACCAGGTCTTTACAGTGCTGATATTCAAATAGAAAAATTTGCATTTCAAATAGCAATTCCCACGTGAAATCAAGTTCACACTTCATACCTGTGAGCGTGAGTAGGCGAGGCAAAGGTGAGGGAGTTAAGTTGATTTTGATGCATGGGGTCACTGGACAGCTGGCATGGCAAATGGGGCAGAACATCAATGCTGCTCAGACTCCGGCTGCGAGCCTGCAGTTATCGACATAAATAAAAACTTGGTGGTCTAAAGAAAATAGCCATGAATGTGACAAAAATAAGGAAGAGAATCAAATAAAAGGAAAGGGGACGGTTAAAAGGGATGGCAGGAAAAGATGAAGGAAGGAAAACAAAGAGGAAAGGGTATGGCAAAGAAGAATTAGAAATGGTTAGAAAAAAAGAGCAAACTTAAGGAAAAGAAGACAAACTCTAAACAAGTGCTAACGTGTGATTGATTAGACAGGTACACTGAAGAAATAGTCATTACACATGGCAGAAAATTGAATTTCATAAAAACTACTCATTGAAATCAATGGTCAAATTCGGGATAGCAGTGTGAAGTGACACAAGAGAAAGCCAAGTTATCATGAGCTCGCACTAAGACAGGACGTGGTGCAGAAGTTCACCTTCTTGGCCGACAAGGCCAGTTTCTTGGCAGGTGGAGGTGACATGGTGCTGGTGGCTTCAGATGTAATGTTGTTGAGGGCCGGGGGTTTTATTTTTGACGTCTTCTGCTCTTCTGTGCTCTGAGAGCGCTCCACGCTCCTGGCTGGAGATGCAAGGCCATTGGAGCCTTTCCGAGGAGTGGAGGGAGTCTCTCCTACTGGTGCACTTTTTGGACCAACCGAGTCCTGAGAAGTAATCACAAGTAGCAGTTACACTTCTGTGCATTCACACGACCGAACACGGCTGTTGTGCACCTTCTTAACCCTTTCAACACAAAGTAACTTTGGTTTGAAATTCATGATCCGATATGGTTTTGATTAAACCCATAAATTCGTAAGTAGACTTCACATCATTACATGTCTGGTATCAATCAAAAGTAGACAAGTTGAAAGTTTACTCTTGTCACATACATACAGGTGAATTACAGGTGTGAAAAGGTAAAGGTAAACTTCATAATTACCAGGGATATATGCCTACAGTGAAATTATTATTATTATTTTCATTATTATCAGTATTATTATTATTATTACTATTTGCATAATTTATTTCATGACTGAATCGCTTGTTCACATACAGGGATTCCCACTGATAGACAATCAAAATGAATGTAACAGAAAGCCGCCATATACCAGAGCCCTTTCTACCGGGCTGCGGTGTTGATGGAGTGAAAGCTGCAGATCGGTACAGTGGGCTATAGTGTTGAAAGGGTTAAACTCCTGCAAACACGTACCACACACTTGCTAATTTGGACGAACTGCTACAAACAATGAAGTCATAATGTTCCATGAACACTGTTTGCCAAATCAGACTGTAACAAAGTTGGCTATTAGGGTGTTGTGCCTTTCACATATTTCACTTTTTACATTAGAGCTCCAACTATTAAGAGTCATTAGTTAGCAAAGGGGCTGCAAGGTGGCTCGGTGGTTAGCACTGTTGCCTCGCAGCGGTTCACGTCCCGGTGAAGACACTCAGGATCTTTATGCATGGAGTTTACATGTTCTCCCCGTGCAGCATGGGTTCTCTCTGGGTTCTCCGGCTTCTTCCCATAAGTCCAAAAGCATGTTGAGGTTAATTGGTGATTCTAAATTGTCCATAGGTGTGAATGTGAGTGTGCTTGGTTGTCTGTCTCTAAGTGTGGCCCTGCGATAGACTGGTAACCTGTCCAGGGTGTCCCCTGCCTTCACCCTAAGTCAGCTGGGATAGGCTCCAGCCCCCCACTACCCTAGTGAGGATTAAGCGGTGTATAGACAATGGATGGATAGTTAGCAAAGCTTTTTTGATTGTTCAATAACTATTTAAGTCACTGTCTGTAGCAAAGGTTATAAATATTCCTTAGTTCCAGCTTTCCAAATATGAGAAGATGCCTCTCTTCTTTGTTTTATGTTACTACTATGTTACTATACACTGAATGTCTCTGGGACGGCACTTTTTGCCTAAGTACATAGTGCTGGACACTTCTCACTGTTTTCTGATGACTAATTATGACATTCCATAATCAAAAATGTATTTTTTCTTTTTTGTCTTTTTAATTTTCCTGCACTGTGAGGACTTATATCACAGGCTAATATAACACATATCTAAAAATTACTATCAGATTTAAAAAGTTGCCTTAATGCTGCCTGTAGAGTAACATTTGTATTTGTGTGTCTTCACTGGATATTATACCTTTGAGTCAGTGGTGTCAGCAGAGGAAGAGTCTGACAAAGACTTAAATGAGGTAGATGCTGCCATGCCTCTGCCCTCGCCACCCTGCTTTTTGTTCTCCTCCGTCCTGCTGACCCCATTGTTGGAAGGGGTCGGAGTACTGCTGCGGGACTGCACCTGGCTCTGGGGAGAGGGCTTCTTCACCTTCTTGAAAGGTTCCTCGATAACTGTGGGTCCACCTGGCAGCTTCGGTGGACCGTTGGAGGACGATGTCCAGTTGGAAAGTCTGGGCTGTGGCTGAGTGCTCACACCGTTCCTGGAGATGGGCAAACCCAAACCACCATCCATAGACTGGATCTTACGCAGCTGTGCAGGCTCAAGTTTCTGTCCAGAGGAGTTAAACTTTGATTAAAAATACAGAATCTGATCTAAATGTTAAAACCTGCAGAAATAGACACTCTCACAAGCTCACCAAAACACTTAAGAGCAAATGTCATCTTTTCTTTTACCTTTGTGACCTGCGGAGAAGAGAGAGGCCCATTCAGGTTGGCCCTCTTTATCTGTTCCGATGATGCGCTATTCTTCCCAGAATGCAGCATCCCCTGCTTGGTGGTCTGCGCATCTGCATTCTTCTTGGTTTCAGGGATCCTTTAACAACAATCAAAGACAGCAGTTTATTTGATGATATACCCAGGAGGTACAGACAACATGTTTCTGATCTCTTGCAGCACTCACTAGCATCGTACCTCAGGTAGAAAAGCACATAAGCCTGCTGGTTCAAGACCACTTTGATGTTACTCGAGTGCACCATTGAATCATTCATCTGGTACCATTGTCCATTGCTCGCCTAGGACGAACAAAAGGGAGATAAACATTAAAAAAAATAAAGCAACTAGATTCAAAATGTCCACCACTAATCTTAAACCTTATGCACTAATTAGGTGTGAAATATATTCATTTTCAGCTCAGTTAATGCAGTTACAATCATATAAGGTGCTTTTATGATCACACAGAATTGCATTTCCAACTGTTTTCACGTCAAGCAACCACCTTGAAAACAAGACGGCTTACCTCAAGGTTTCTTTAGCTGTGTTTTAACAAATAAATAAGGACGTGCTGGTAGCCCTACCTTGACATAGCAGTAGTAGTGGCCAGCATGACAACTGTATCCAGAATGCACCAGAACAGCATAGAGGCCGTACATAACAGGATCTCCTGAGCTCTGAGACATGTAGGGGCGGATGTTCAGAAATTCTGGGTAACCAACATCCTAAAAAGGAAGAAGAATGACACAAAGAAATATGAGACACGCTGAAGAAAGGGGCAGTTTTTTTTTAACAGTCAATGGTGTGACAATTCTTTATTAACCTTTGTTATTTTTCCTCCACTGAAGTTGGCAAACCTCTTCAGTGAAAGGGTCAGTACATTAGATGTTCGATGGACTGTGAAGCGCTTGGTAGCCGGCACTTTCTTTTTGCACCTGAAGATTTAAAAAAACAAACAAAAAAAAAAGCAATGATGATCTGTAATGTGAATAAAGGTTTGTTTTTTAACTCTATTTTTCATACCTTGCAGATTTACTTGGATGTTGTCAGACTACATAAATAAAACTCACTTGGCACACATGTAAGCGTTCTCTCCACTTAGCACGTCTGGTTTAACAAATAGTTCCAGGGCTCGCACAATGTTTGCAGCTTGCTGAATGACAAACAAAAGAGAAATTGTTTTATGTTAATGAAGCTAGATTTTCCAAAAATTATATTTGTATATAACATTTTCATGGAAATAAAGCTCATACTGTGATCTTGTGTCACATACCCGGATCTCCACAGCGATGTCCAGGTAAGGGTCATATGTGTCTGACACGCTTTTACAAATAGAGCATTTCACTGAAAGACAATACAGAGAACAGAGTGTTGATGCTTCGGAATAAATCCAATCTAGCAATGCAACAGGCTAAGAGTGAATTTTGTAACATGTCACACAAGCTACCGTTCAATTTCCTGTAAGCACGAATCTATCAACAACCTCAAACCACTGTCGCTGAGATCAAAAACTGAGGGGAAATTCCTTTATATTTAACACTCTTAACAATATTTCCATTCCAGATCTGACAGGCATTAGTTACTGGGTCAACATGACACCTGAAATCACATCACAAGAGGCTTTACAAGCTGCTCGTTAGTCTGAAACAGATGCACTTTGCAGACATATTTTACATAAAAGTTAGACAATCATCATGAACTGCTTCCCCAGTGAGAGCACATATGATTTACGGTGAGAACATCTACGTTGGGCTGCAGAAACAGTCTTTAATTGGTCTGTCTGGAGATTAATTAATGCAAAATTGCAAAAATGTTTCCAAAGAATTCCACCAACTATTCTGTGGATAAAGGCATTGAAGGCCAAGAACAGATACAGACATGGCACCCTTCAGTTTTTCATGCATCATTATAAAGATGAGTTTGTTGACACTGTCTTACAGTTCGTCTAGTCTCATGGGAAATGGATCGATAATGTCATATCAAAAGCAACAAAAGCAAGTTTTCTTTCCACCGTTCTCCATGTGAAAAAAACAACAACAACAACAACAACAAAAAGACAGTCAATACCTCTTGACCTGAGGTAACCTCCAAAGATCTGATGAACCAATGTTGTGGCCTGGGTCTGCCTGTCAAGTCTAAAAGCAGAAATGAAAAAAAAAAAGAGGAAAAATGTTATTCATATAATAGTTTACAAAAAAAAACTAACATACTTTTAATGAGCATAAAAGCCTTACTTTGGGTAGCCATTGAGACAGGCTTTCTGCATGGCATCGATGGTATACCGCAAAAATTCATGAGCATCCTCTTGGCTCCCAAAGCGAAAATGTCTGGCAATTTCTGGTGAAGACAAAGGTATTTTACATTTAAATTAAATTTGTGCTAATTTATTGTCTCAAAGCAGAGTGCATTAACAAAATTAGGTGCTTTATGGCTTTTCTTAACACTTTACCACGTACAGAGACAGGGAGGACACAGTATGGTATAGAAACACTTTTACATCTTTCTAACTCAAAAAAAAAAAAAAAGTTATTGTGTTAAGTTAGTCCATGTGTGTCATTTACAGCATAGCACGCCATATAAACGTTATTCACTGACTTCTTCATCGACATTCCCTAAATGCAGGGATTACTGACAATAAGTAAACATCAATCAGTGAAAGACACATGGACGAACTCATTACATGACAAACTCTAATCAGAAATAGAGAAACTCTGAAAGGCATATTTATAAAGTAATAGGTCAAGATAATGTGAAGTTGGAAGAGGACTCTTTCATGGGTACTTACAGCCGACCTCTAATGTTAGTACCTCATGCATCTTAGACATGCACTTGAATAATGACCTGATAGAAAGGTTATGGTGGCTTCAACAAGCTCATCGACAGTAAACGTCCCACATTAAAGCTGATGTAGCTCTAAAGACTTTGCCCCCCCTCCCCTTATTTTCTAATGCAATAGGGGAGAGTATGAACTGGTAGAATTATAATGTGGCCATCAACACATTTTCAGCATAGCATCCCTGCACATTTAAGACAATGAGTCACCCCAGAGTGGGGAAAAGGAATAAGACACCATGCACGAATGACCTATTCCAGGCACCCTTAGGAGAGTGTGAAATCAGTGGGCATTAGATTGGTGTGTTGTGCTTTTATTTTGTTTGTGAAACCCCAGCTGTGTGATCCGAGGGTAATTCCAGAATAATTTACAGTAAACATGTTTGGATTTTTATGTGATGACATAGTGCTGTCTTTGCCTTTTTTCTTTTTTGGGGAGGGATGTTGAACACCATTCGAGCTGTGGTGGCACATTTTTAGCTCTGCGGAGGAGGCCACCAGGTAAATAAATGTAAAGGGAAACCATAAAGCTCATGCAATACATCTCTGTGCCCTGGCGGAAAAGAAGGCAGGCAGGTGGCCTGTACATTTTTGTGCTAAAGCTGCTCTTCTCAGCCTGCAGTCACAAGGAGACAGAGAGGGCATTGGGGAAGGAGGGAGGGAGGAGATGAAGGGGGGATGGAGAGACAGAAAAAGAGGCGCAGGAGGTGGAGACATGATTGCAGCAGCACATAAGGAGGAAGCAGGCAGGTAGGGAGGGGATTAGGGTGCAGTGAGACTACAGCACCATGTCAAGGTGCAACTCACACCTCATCTCCACTGTCAGTGTGGTATTCATTCACTACCTGCAGCCTCACAGCTTCACTTATGTACTGCAGTTACTGCCGGCTGCTGTCACATGGGACACTGTGGCCAGTGATGCGTCATAATGCCTCTGGCAGTATTAAGCCAAAAAATCAGGTGCTGCTAACTCCTGCTGACACAACCTACATCGCAAACTTGCAGGCACAAAGGTGCAGACACAATTACGCAGTGTGAAAGGGAGGTGGTCTTACTTTTTAAGTCTCTGATGAAGGAGACAGGTTTAATGGCGTTGCCTGTGTTGGCAAAGGCTTGGATGATGTGGTTCTGCATTACACAGATCATACAAAAGCCCGACTGGTGACCTGAAACACAAAATAAAAGTACAAAAGAGTGTAATTTTTAACACAAGATCTGTTTTAATCAATTCATATCCTGATGAAAACTCTATCCCATTGATTGGTACGCAGAAAAAATTTACCATCCACCACAAAGGAACAATGTGTGTTAAATGTGGCTCCTTTGTACTGTAGTAAAAAAAAAAAGTTAACGTGTAGTTCGACCACTCTGGGTTAAAAAAAAACAAAGTCTGAATCAGATTGATGCCATTCTCCAAAATATTTTGCGAAATATGCATGGTGCTTAATATTTTTAAATATATTTCACTAAAGAAATATTCTTTAACATTATTTAGATTTAAATGTGAACTTAACATTTTGGTATTATTCTGGTGGCACTATTCTACAGGACACTTAATGAGAAACACCATCTTTAGAAGAAGAAGAAGATGTAAAAGATTTCATAATTTAGAAATGATCCGCGCTGTGTCAATCTGTCCTTATACTGAATTTTATGACCTCAGCCTTCAGTTACACCAGGTCTACTGCAGGTCTAAGCTGAAGCTCAGAAACAGTGTCCAGGAGTTTAATTGATTTCTACAAGACACAGCAGCGTTGCGAAAAATGTAAGTGAATGAGACAATAAGCTTTGGCAACACAGAAGAACACAAGTCAAGTACTCACAGGCACGGCTGTGCTCCTTTGAGAGTAAGTAGTTGGCAAGTGGCGGGGTGTAGGTGAGACACTGCACTGTGGAGTTGAGGAAGCAGGTGTTTCCCAGGTTGTGGAGGCCGGCTCCCACCCTGTACACACGCTCCCATTTGAGGGTAAGCTTGTTCCCTGGAAAGAGCATCTTCTGTGGGGCAGGGATCCCATCACTCTGGCTCCCAACCACATTCTCTGAGACTGAAGCAGAAGGGGAGTCAATTTTGTGACATTGGCAAACAAGTGATTTAAAGTACATAAAAACTCGGTTTTTATGGCCAACATTAAAACACAAAATATGAAAGATGTCAGACTATCTGCTCAAATTTCAGTTTAACTTCAGAGCTTACCTTGCCTCTTTATTTGAGCAGGCTCTGTAGCCTTCTGCCCTGTAGCACCCTCAGTCCTTGGATTGAGGATCACATACTTGTTCTTTAGGCTGTCCAGCTGGTAGGAGAAACCCTTGCTAGCAGGCTCAAACTCTATTTTCTGCAAAAGGACCTTCTTGGCAGAAGAAGCCAACAGTTTGTTGAGGTCACCCTCATCGCCCGTCTCCTTTCGACCAGGTTTTAACGCCTCCTTGAGTTTATCCACTATCGGCATTGTTGGAACATCACTGCAGAAAAAGACAGACTGGGTATTAGTGTCAACTCACACGAGGCAAAACAAGTAACGAAGATCGTTTCACCAATTTCCCCAAAAAGATCAACAACATGTCTTCTTATTACATTGACACCCTATTCAAAAACGTCTCAAAGGACTAAAACTATCTCTGAGCTAAACAGAGCCAAAAAATAAATGTAATGTTCAATTTAATGTTTAATTTTTCTTTCTAATAATAAACTAAGTGCCTATTAACACCCTTGTTTGTTTGTGCTTCAGTAGGTACCTCTACAGGCCACATATCCTGACCTTGCTTCGCAAGAGATACAGAGACTGAGTGCATCTGAAGAGCCAGCTGGGTCTTGGCAGCTGTCCCCACAGTTATGCAAGACATCAGACGTTAGTAACATAGGGTGGGGGAGTGTATGGGATAGGAGAGGATGATCATTTAGAGCGTATAAGGTGTAAGCAGATGCTGTTAGCTGCCAGGTCACATTTGTACTACGTATACAAGTAATTTTGTGCCTGTATCTACATTTCCTCTGTTATCTTAATTCAGTCGATTGGCATGGCTCTTTACTAAAACAACACAGAATCTAATTCTGTTATCTGTGCTGTAAATGATTTGACAGATGCCCCCACAAACAAATCACAAAACTAAACAATAACGTGCAGCTTTAAAAAAATAAACACGTTTTCATTTGTCATCAAATGCAGCAAAAGGACCATTTCGATGTAGGTAATGGTGTGTGTATATTTCCACAACATCTGTCTGCTAGAGTCATCAGCATGAATAACTTTTGATGTGATATTTTCTCCAGAAGACAGCAAACTGTCAAAATATGCTCAGTGCTGACTGAACATGTGTAAGAGTATTACATCACACAGATGCTACAGTAGTACAATAAAACACCAAAGGCATGAGAGCCGTGCTCATCAGAGTGGGCAGTGACGTCATAAGGAGGGAAGGAGGGCTGAACATGCATTGTATGCACAAGGGCATGCTGACCTTCACATGCTGCTGATACTGATACAACTAAGAACGACACAGCCCACAGGGACACAGCCAACTGCAGTGATGCCACCACGAGAGCAGGCAGCAGTGTTCAAACACTGGCCACAACATGCATGTCTAATTAGATTATGTCACATTCATTAGTGATCTTAGGTGTTCATAGCACACAGAAACTTCCTAATGCTCGTGTTAATCTTGGCAGCTACACTAACAATGCCCAGTTCACTAAAATCATGCCAATAAAGGCATAGCTCTGTTTTTTTCCCTTTGATGTTCAAGGTGATGTGAGTTGTTTACTAGTTTATACTGATATTAACTGAGCAAAATTACTATAAATGCATGAACACAAAAAGATAATCTTGTAGTGTGAATGATGCCCAGGGATGTTAACATGGCTAGTAGATGCTGGGAATAATAAAATACAAAAATAACTTAAATAAATATAATTACATAAATTATAATGAATTGATATATATTAAATTAAATAAATAATGAATACAATAAATTATTGGGAATGTATAAAAAGATTCAAGCCATCTTTAATCTGTTTTGACCCATCTTGTATTCGTATGTGCTTGGCTACGTTGGCTGTTGTCCATCTGTTATCAACACATATGATGAAGTCAAGTCATGAGGTTTACAAAAACAAAGACATTTTTTGGAGTTTTTAGCATTAAAAGAAATGATTCTGTCTTATTAAATCATTTTTAAGTTGTGCAGATGTTATTAATATTTTGAGATCTCTCAACATAAAAATTAAAATGTGTCTTACTTTTAACTCCTCTGATCACTTACACTAAATATTTCCACTCAACTATATTCTTCTTGTCTATTTATTATATTTCAGAGGCAATCATCACACTGGCATTTCTAGAAACATCTGCTTCAGTGGCAATATTTTGTTCGACTTGTAAAAATACAACTGACAAAAACTCACAAGTCTGGTGTAGTTCACACTTTTTCTTTTTTTCCCCTTTATTTAACCAGGTAGGATAATTGAGAACAGATTCTCATTTACAATAACAACCTGGCCAAGAGGCAGCACTGAGCAGAAAATACAATAAAGGCAAAAAATGTAATTAACTCTGCCAAACCAATTAGAAATGAAATTATTTATGAATTATTCTTTCAGACAATCAAAAAAGAATTAAATCAGCGGCTGTTCTGGTAACTATTCTCAAGCAAAAAATGTTAATATATGCTTATTACAGCTTCTCAAATGTAAGGATTTTCATCTTCTTTTACTTTTTACAGCTTTAAAGGGAATAATTTCACTATAATTGGCAATAATAATCTTTGGACAACAGACTGCCAGTATAGGCAGGCAATATAAAAACGTCTGGCTCTGGGAAATGGAGGCATGCATTATACTCACAATATATAATAGGGGGAATACTTGGCAATGAACATTAATAATAAATAATAAGTGCATGATCTTAGTGTCTGTGTTCTATCTTAATGGAGATCATGCAGGAAACTTTCCAAAAATATTCCAGCAACGATTAAGAAAGACACAAAATCTAAATGAACCATGTCAATTTACATGTCGATATTTTTGGATACAGAGGCCAGAGAGAGTCTAGCATTATGGTTCGTCTACATGCTACTACTTTATTTTGGTTCATTAAGGTTACTCACTCAACACAATGAATAATGCTAGCGTTACGGGACTACCTCATACTAAAATGGTAACAATAAGAAGCAATAAAAACGGTAAATCACAAGCATCCACTCCTACACTAGACATGCGAAGGATGGATATTCATTGGTATCACCTGAAGGCAGCGCCTCCTTTGCTGTCACTTTTTAAGTTTCTCCATTATTTTTAGCTTGTTTATAAAAAAATTAGCTTGCTGCTGAATTTTTCATATTTTTATTTCTAGTGGTTATTGATTATTGTTTTCAGCCCCATGCAGTAGCCAGGGCAGCATGTATTCACCAGCTGGACTTCACACTACGGGCCAGTCATCTTAGCTTAAATGCTATGTAGCTAACGTCAGCCACGGCTAATTTTGACCTGAACGGTTCAAAAAAATGACTACAAAACGTCGTAATAATCCACAAGCTCTATGATATTGAATCGGTTATCTTTTCATGTTGTCGATTTTTTCGTGTTCTGTCGCTTGTAACCTATACAGCGACCGCAGCGAATTAGCCAGCGAGCTACCTTAACGTGGCGAGAGCCTCCAGTCTTCCTCAGTGCTGCAATGTGAGTTAGCGCCTCAGCGTCCAGGTGGCTAACAATCCCCAGCCGCCAAATCCTGCCTTTTTACTTTAACGACACCAGCCTGGAAATAACGTGGCTAACGTATATTACACGAGTACGTGCGTTTGTTCACTCACCTTTCGTCCAAACGGTCAAAATAGTTGACAGTAGCAGAGTCTGCTTCCTCAGCTGAAGCTCCTGGGTCTGGTATTTTCGCCCATGCTGCATTATGAGAGGGCGGCGACACCAATGACTGACAGGCGTTGAGGACCAATCACAGAACAGGTCACTCCGTTACTGGAAGGTTCAGCCAATCAGCGCACAAAGTGGCTCTGCGCTGTCGGGAGAGAGTCACACGTGACTTCTAGCCATCGCTGTTTACCATTGATGCAATTGGCACGATGCATGTTAACAATTTCTACTGTAAGCACTGAAGGAAACAGCCTGCATCAGCGCGCTGAAAGGGCCGTTTACATGAACGTTCATGAAATCACTTCTCTATGTGTTATTATTCCAAACCTTTCATGATAGCAGATTTCATTAAGATCAGATAATCCTTCCCATGCAGGCAGGTTTTTAATTAGATTTCATTCTGCTTGAGTACTAGCAGTGCCATAAAGATGCAGTTTAATTGGTTTATTTTTTGTACTGATTGCATATAATATTACATATTTTAATACCAATTTACCTCGAATGATTTTATGTTGTGAAATCCAGAGAGGGCCATGATTGATAAAGTGCTCATCTGTGCACATGGACATGGACTCGGGTCTGTGAACGTCACATGTTGTTGCTGTGTCCACTGGGCGGCAGCAGATTTCCATTAAAGACTCAAAAGTGCTTGGTAAATTCTTAAAAGTAATTTAGGGCAACGTAACTCATGCATGCTGCAAAGAAAGAAAAAATTAAAATCATGATATATATAATATAGTATGTAGAACTACCAAATTGCAAGGTTTATGTAGATCAGTTGTGTTGACATAATTATGTTGGTAGTTGCATCAACTTAATATTGTGTGTAAATTAAACTCAAATATCTGTATCCACTGATTTAAAACTAAATTGAAATAGTAGTACGTTTAAGAAGTTTGCTTGATTACTTGATTTTTCTTCACCATGAATTCAACATATCAAGTAACCTCCCCTGGACAATGTCGGACTGTTTTAGACTCTGCATTAGCAGACCTGAAAGCTGGACAAACACAATTCAAAGGACATTTCATAGTAAAGATAATTTCTGTTCTGTTCAGTTCAGCTAAAGCAATAAATCTAGGGATACTGTGATGAACTATGATGGGAATATTACCAATCATGGACTTCTGTAAGATGACTCTATTGTGCTTGCTTCTCTTAAGTCTCTTAAAAACTGATTTGGTAAGCTAAAAATGTTACATGATGATTTACATGAAGTGCCGATGATCAGTGTAAGCTTGTTGCATGCACTGATTTGAAAATAAAAAGAATAAAGCACATTGAAACAGAGTTTGGCATTTAATATAATAGTCAAATGTACAGTAATGTTTCAGATGGATATGCATGCAAACATCCTCTTATCTCAAAAGTCCCATGTGAAACCAGCACAAGACATCCTACTTGATTACAGTTTCAAATGAAGAATCTTTTTACATTCTCATATTAATTAATAAAGTCACATGACATTTGCTTGACACTTATGATCATTTAAGTCTCTGCAAGAAAAAAAAAAACATGATGATTGGTTACAATATGTTCTTTAATTCACCGTCCTAAAGCGTGAACCAGTCAGACAGATGACAGACCTACAACTTGATCCTTACTGCACACAATATGTATTAGCTAATACTGTTAAAATATTTAGACTTCTCTTTATATAATATGAATGGTATCATAAAAATGCAAAAGAAAAAAAAAGTGGGCTTCTTTTTCAAAGATGAATCATATAACCTCCTTAAATAAAATATGTTCTTACACAAACTAATGCATTACAAAGAGAACAGCTGTACTATAAAAAAACAAAAAAAACATACAAAATGGAGGATTCAATCCTCTTTTCTCATAATTTTCATGAGAGACAATATGACTATAGTGACAATTGTGTTCAAAGTGCATTTTGTCTATTCAGGATTATTTCAAGAAAACACCTACAAAGCAGAAGCACTGATTTTGACTACGAGGTGACAACGTGTAATCGACAACATAACGCTCTTATACGGTGATTAGTTTTGTGACAAATGGAGGGGTTTTGCATACTCAGCACAGGACAGAATCTGAGGCGGAGGAGGCAAGAGGTGGCACGCCTTCCTTATGATAGCTCTGCTGTCACAATTTAGGGTGCCAGAGATTTACAGAACTTTGATAGTACTTTGAACTTTGAAGTATGTGCATGTTGAATTAAAGAATTATAGTTCACTTTTTAAAAAAATTGCTTTGGTTAGCAGAGAAAACAAAAACTGCAAATTAATAGCACAGGAACAAAAATACAATGAACGGCAATACTGAGTTGTGATGATTATCCCTTTATTTCATCTGGAGGAGAAGTGGTTTATGAGGAAGTGCTTTAGATATAGGGGTAGAGGTGGTACAAAGTGCTGAGTTCATACGACTGTTCATTGAAAACATGAGGCCTACAATTAAAAATCTTTTTTTTTTTTTCAACCTCATCATGGAGCACCCACCCTACAGCTTTTTTAACAAGAACAAAATCAAAATAAGAATTTGATTGATTTTATTTGTTTTTTTGTTTTTTTTTTTGTATTTATATGTTTGCATATTTCAACTGCTGACATCTTCAGACTTCTGGACACTGGTGGAGTTAAGGGTCTTCGATGTCCAGGAAATCCTTTTTGGGCGGTGCACTGCCTCTGTACCAGGCACATGAGTCATCACTCCTCTTGATGCAAGCAAAGTGTTTGGCTTGCTCTCCGTTGTATATCTTCTCAATCACCCAGTCTGTCCACAGACACTCTGTTGGGCTGCTGATTGTGCAGGGGATGGAGGTGCAGCGTGTGATCTGTGTGACAGCGAAGACACCAAGATCAGGAAACATAAAACGTGCATTTCTGGAGATTAGTTTCCTATCACTGGTAGGTGATAGTTACTAGTAAATTAAACTACTTTCCTACCTTGCAATCGCAGCCTGTTTCATAGCGCTGAGTCAGACTCTTCTTCTGGGTGGCACTCAGGGCCTCCCAGGGCTCAATGAAGTCACACAGTGTGACATGCATCGTCCCATCAGCCTCCAGTTTACCTACAGTAGAAAGAGAAGCAATGAGGTGACGTGAAACTGGAAATGAAGACACATCAGGAAATAATATTTGCTATATTATGTGGTGAGTGCTGAAATACCTGTGATCAGATACTCTTTCTTGCCATTGGTCTCCAGAGTCACTCCACAGATAGCAGAAGAGGGAGCAGTGTAGATGGCATCAATGTCCTGAGTGGGACCTTTGAACATCTGACGATGCAAAGAATGAACTTTTAGATTCATATTGCATTAAAGTTTATATGCAAGCATGAGGATGATAACTAAAATAGCTTTATCCTGTATACCTTGATCTGTTTGATGTCATACTTGATCCGCTTGATGGGATTTCCATAGATGTCATTGCCAGCGTCAACTTCCTCCTCCCCAACTACTTTTGCCCTGATAACTGGAGAAAGAAAAAAAAAACAAAAAAACAACCCACATTAACATTCATTGTATCCCAAGACAAGGTTTCAAAGTGAAACACCACTGTTATGTTAAAACTGAACTGGATCTGGATCTGCCTGTATCTGATCTGAGCCCTGCCCAGGTTTGGCATGCTGAAGTTGGCCGCAACACATTGCTGTGGCTTGGATCTGAAGAGTTTGCATGTGCCAGGTGCTGGGAAGACCGAGGCACATGAGTGTTTCATCAGCTGCAATCAGAGGGAGGAATGTGTGCTGCCTGTTCCCAGGTTCCTGTGCCGACACAGGAGGAAGCCAGTCAGCAATCTTTGAAAAGCTGAACTAGAATGCTCCCCTTGCCCCAAGGCCTCTCTGCCGGCCTGCCTCTCTGTCTGCATAGAGGTGCTGACATGCAAATCAACCTCTTTTCTCTCGCATGCAGCCTCCCCCTTTCTCTCTCTCTCTCACTCTCTTGCTCTCTGAAGTTGCAGCTTCCAAATTCACAGAGGTTTGGATGGGGAAAAGTAAAATAGTTCAAGTGGAAAAATATTAGCGGAGCCATACAGATGAGCCTTTGAGCAAATACTCAGTAGTGAGCAAAGTAAATGCAAACACTGAAGTACAGTACAATATTGATCACATGCCCACCATAACTAAAAACCAACAGACTACTGGTATAATGCAACTTGCAATGATGACTGTAACGCCACAAAACTATGACCATGTAGAAGCTGTCCAAAATCACAGTTAAAATGAAGCTTTCGTGTGGCAGAGACTAGCGACAGAGTTAATGCCAACCAGATGTTTTCTCTCAAGTTCCATTTCAGTCCCTGCTAGGGTGGCAGCTACTGATTGTCTCAGACCCTCACCAGGCTGCTCCTTTACCAAATAAGATCAAGCATTTTCATTTGCTTTTTATACGAAGCTGTGAGCCATATGTGTCCTAATTCGATGACAATAGAGGCTTAGAGAACATCTCCTTTTAAGGGTCTAAAGCATCAACCCCATAGCAGAAGGAAAACAGAGAAAAAAGGAGTGTGTGTGCACAGATGGAGGGAGTGATGGAGTGATGAGGATGGTTGCGTTCAGCAGGCAGGGGAAAGTCACATAGCAGAGGCAGGGAGAGGACAGGCCCTCAAAGCAATACTGCAAAACTGTCACAAACGACACAGAGAGCCAAAAAGCTGTACGCACTGAAAAATGATTTAGACGCTGCACCGAGGGATAATTCACACCAGTTCTTCGTTTTACAAATCACAAACGGCTTCACTCACACTCATGCACATCGAGGTAACAGTGCTGAGAAACTCCCCAACTTCTCCGGCTGCAGAGTGGATTAGTGGTAATCCCCTTTGCTCGAGTGTGCAGAATCACACAGAGATCACTTCTACTTGTACGAGCGTTAAGCAAGGCAGGTGAAAATAAGCACAGTATGTCAAAAAAACACTCAGACATGGGGCTTACGTGAATGAGGATATATAATTTGAGCACTTCGAAGAGTTAGGGTTAGCTCTTTAAGTTGTATTCAACATGCTAAAAATAGACAGCTGAAAGAGAAAAGAAGATGGTTATACAGTAGTATATCCCTTTCATTATGCTATTTAAGTTATAACAGTTGGAATCTAAAAAGTTCTTATTCAGCCACATCCAGTCACTGTATTTTAACTTCTACTATAACTTCATTTTCTGTGCTGATATACAGCATATACCTAATTCTTCAAGGACCTGACGTTTACCGAAACAGGCTGACAAAGCCCTTTCAGAATCACAAAACTGGGAACTGAAGGAACCATCTCATTTTCTAGTTACTCAAACAATAAACACAATATCTTGCATTTAGTATTGTGGTCGTGGGAGTGCTTCAAAAAACAAAGAAAAAAGCAAATGCATGTCATGTAATTGCTGGGCCTGCACATTCATTTTCCTCCCTGAGAGGCCACAACGTGGTCAGACTTTGAATAAAAAAACTATACGACAAATGCAAACTGACTACTCTGCTTATCCTGACCAAAGATGCATAGACTAATCCACAGCTGGTTTCTTTGTGGAGTATTAACCTCTGCCATTATTCCATCAGAGCCTAAAAGTGGCAATACTTGGTCTTTCAGGCATCAAAATGTTGTTGCTGTTTACTTGACATTTGAATGTTTTGTCCTATATTTGTGAATGCCACGTGACAGACGATGTGAAGACGATGTAAACAAATGTTTGTCAGCAGTAAAGTGAAGTCAGTGCAGCTGTAAGTAAAATTTGTTTCACTCGGTGCTCTGAACCTGCTGGACGGACCGATCTGATGCATTACTGCAGGTGAAGCAGGAGTTTAAAGCTGCCATTCTGAGAGTTTTGCACATATGCAGTCACGCTCAAAGTAGGAAAATCTGGATTTAATATTAGCTCTGTTTACACAGCTTGCAGGGCTGTGTTTATCCCGGAAGTCACGTTAAAGCCAGCTTTCCTTTCAAGGTCTCCAATGATTCACTTTCCTTCTTCACAAGAAGCAGCACAGATACACCCCATAATCAGTAAAAAAAAAAAAGAAAAGAAAAGAAAAAAAGAAATAAAAAGCAAATACATAATGAGCACAGCATATGACTGCGCAACATTCCTCTGTCTCAGCAAAAGACCCAGGGGATGGATTTCAATTTATGAGGGAAGACTTTTTCTGAATCCTGCTCTGCCTGTTTTGACAAGGTAAAGAAAACTAGATGTTTACAACTGAACCTGACCTGGTATTTTGGCTATTTCACAGTAAGGGGGACAGAAATGAGGTCGGCTCTGGTGGAGGAAATAGCTCAGGTGAAAAAGGTGACAGTCCCAGTTAAAACTACAGTGTGCTTTGATCAGACTGTTGGATCGGTGGCTCCCCTCTGCTCAACATTTATACTTTATATTGGTATTTTTCCAACCCACAACTTTTACCTCACACAAAGGACGTTATACTGTATGAAGTACAATGGATCACAACAAGTGGCACAATGGGAAAAGGATCTCAGAATAATAGCTCTTATACTGTGTGTACTCAACTCTCTTGAGAGGAAATAAGTTTGCAAACTACTTGAGTAACAAATCTTAAGTAATTTTCTTCGTACTCCAGAAACTCTGACCGAAACTAGAGCTGTGAAACTTGAGTTTCACTTCAGTAAACTGTCTGACTCTCAGTCCCTAAAGAAAGTCTCACCAAACTTTATTCTACACACGAATACTGTATCTATGAGAATCAAAATCTATTCAACATAAATACCCATCACCTACAGCTAGAACAGCAGAGGAAAAATAATGATTCCCCCTCATTGTAAAAACAAGCCTCATTAGGGAAGCTACCCAAAGTAGGTAATGACCTTCATTTAGAACGTGCTTAGTCAATTTGACATTTCATCACTCCACAGAGTGCTGCAAATTTATTTTCAGTGTAGCAACCAGTGACTTTACAGGGATTGTCAGTGATTATACAAACTCACAAGATTTCTCTCTGACGTTCAGCTTTCGAAATGTGTTTCGTAAATGCTGACTGACCTCTCTGTGACACAGTAGCCTTTGTGAACTCTTGCTGTGGGTGGCATTCTTGTCAAACTACTAGATGTCAAGTCTTTCTGTCACTTTGGTATGGTTATGGAAGCTGCTGAAGAAACAAAACCTAAAAATCTTTTTTAGCTGGAGGGTCTGACCTCCTTTAGTCCTTTGTGGTTTGTGGTTACACAAGGGTCTATCCGTGGTGCTGATGCAGAAAAAGAGAGGTCAGGGTCATGTGGCCTCTGAAATGGTGATGAAATAACTCAAGTTCAAATCTGAACCTTAGTTTAGTCAGAGCCCTGCACCGTCTGCCTCAACAAATAACTGAAAGTGCATCCAGCACTGATTTTAAAAAGCCATGTGCTATGAAGCAAGGCCCAAAGTAGAACAAAAGGTTTTAACTTCCCAATCAGTTCCTTTCATTTAGTTTAAACTGCACAGTGAAGAAAACTGCACAGATGTAATCACCTATGCCTTCTTTATTGTGTGATGCTCCTTCAGCTTCACTTTTGGGCCCTTGTAACTTTTTCCAGAGATGAGATTTATTCAGTTTATTATCAACAGGTATTTCAAATAGTTACCTGTAATCGGAGGCATATTTACTGAAAACCTCACATAGCAACTAGTTCTGTTTAGTCAGTTTTGTTCATTTGTCAGTTTAGAAGTAGTAGTAGTGGGTCACTATGCCCTTAGATCCTGTAGTATTTTTAACAATCAGTACAAGGCTAATTTGTCATAAGTTCTAAGGTCATATTAGTCAAACCTGTCACTGTCTTCATGTTTCTTACATGAGCTACCTGTGCTGTGTTATCTCAATGAAAAGGTTCAAGAAACTGCAAAAAAAAAAAAAAAAAGGTGGGAAAAAAAAATCTAAATCAGACTTTCCTTTGCAGTAAATTCACTAGGCGGATAATGAGGTTTCTTCATCCTCCAGAGCCATGGAATCCCACGGTAAAGAGAATTCTTTGAATAAGTCACCTTCTGTATAAATGCCACACACTCAGCCAGCTCATAAGTAAGAAAAAAAAAACCCCTCCAATTTAAATAGCTACACAAGCTGGTCACTGTTAAGACTCTTGTTAGCTTAAGGCCTATGTTGAAGGCAGCAACAAGCAGTGTTTTGTGAGAGGCAAAATAGAGGGAAACTATCCCCATGGCCTTTGAGTCAGAGAAACCGAACTCACCATTCAGTAACTTCTGGATCACTGAGTTGATGATGCTGGATTCTTTTGCAAAACATTCGACTGCAGCAATTATTAGGTTTTCTAGTGAGGCAAAATCTACAAAATGAGAATGAAACGGTGCAATGAGGAAAACCTTTAACAGTCTCCTTCACCGCAGCCAGTGATGTGGCAAAAGTCACACAGGATGGGAAAAGTTGTAAAAAAGTGATCACATTTGGTGCTACTAGTACAATGCAAATCACCAAATCCCCTACAAGGCTGCAAAACGAGATCAAATGGAGTGAAGTACATGCAGTACATTGCTGTGTCTGTGAAGACTGAAGAATATCAACAGATGATTAGAGAGAAAAAGAGGGCAGTGGAAAGAAGGAGACAGAAAATTCCATCCTCCTCCCCGAGTAATTGTAAACATAAGAGTGAGGCAGTTTTCCCTCTCTCTGCTGTTTACAGTTTTCCTCGCCACTGGACATTATGTATTCAAATCCTCATGACAAAATGCTACTTCAGATCTACTGTTTGTGAGTCTGCGAATCAAACTTACCGACATCTGAGCTGCAAAACGCCTGCTGAGGATGCGCAGGGGAGCAGCTGCAGGCTTCTGCCATTTCTTCCACTCGCCAAAGAAACAGGATGGCCAGAGTAACAAAACAGCTGTTCATCGTCCAGGTCATCTTTTTCCTAATTTAAACAGGTGGAAGGGGAAATATAGATATCAAGTGGTGCAGCTGAGCAGGCTGATTAACCTCGAAGAAATATCCTCAGCTTTGAGCGAGTAAAAAAAACGGTCCACTTGTTAAAGTCTGTGATGCACAAGGCATGAGAGGGAGCTCATTCCTCTAGAAGACTGCGCTCTGACTCCTTCTCCACAAATCTGTTTTCCACTACGGTGAGGAGCAGCCGTGTTTTATTAGCGCAGGATGGCAGCAGACTCCTCCTCCGCTGCGCTCTCAGCCAGTTGGAGCTCCAGGACGCACAGCCTCTCACATGCACCAGCAAACTCCGTCACCCTGTGTCACGGCCGTGATGCACAAGGTGGTGGGCAGTTGTTTTTTTTTTTGTTTTTTTTTTACTGTAACACGGGGGTGACATTCAGCAGCATCTGGTAAATCGGCCTTTTTATGTGTTTTCTGGACCATTTTCTCAAGAAAGCTCATTTACTCGAACGTGTAAATCTCAAATCCCCTCAAGTTAGCAGCCCTATGTCTGACATTGGTAGAACTCAAGTGTAACAACAAATCCTACCTTCACCCTTCATCTGTATTGTTTTTTTTTTGTGAAACCCAAACATAAGTGTATATTCAGTTGTAATTTTTGTCACGTCATGAAGAAATGTAGTCATCTTTCCTGGTTTACTAAACGTTTTGTTAATTTCTAGCTAATTGAATGGAACATGTCTGTTTTCTTAGAAACAGGAGTTCGTATCACTTGCAGCTTTTTGACTGATGAACTGAATTAATGAGAGGCTGAGAGTTCCCTCACCTCATGACATTAAGTTTATAAGAAACAAGACGAACCTATAAGCAGACTTCCCCGGAGGCAATGTCCCTCAGAAAACTTCAAAGGAAAGCAAGTCTGTCTGCAACCATTTTTCATGTAACTAGTTGATAATATCTTGAGTGTATTGAACTAGTTTTTGCAAGTTATGTTATTGTATTGTATTGTATTGGTATTGTATATTCACTAAGTACAGTTAACTAATTGTTTAAGGTGACAGTGGAACTTGTGTTTCTAATTCAGAGGAACTTAAAATGATTTACGGTGTGGTTTCTACAACATATAATTAATCAGCCATTGGTGAAACAGTCAGAGGTTTATATTTATAGTCATCAAAACCTTTTTTTTAAACATTTTCAGATTTCAGGGTTACATCTGTGACTTGAATGAACACACATGATGAGCACAAACTGAGGCCAGAGGTCACCAAAATCCAAAAAGTTCTTTGTCTGTTAAGCATGACAGTCCTCACTAAGTTTGAAGGACAAGAGTTCAACAAGAGTAGTGATATTTCTCTTTATGTTTTAAATATAAAGATACAGTATTGTCAGCAGGCAGGTAACTTGTAGAGAGCCAAAGTGAGACCAGAACAAATGGGTTCTGTTGCAGAGGAAAGAGAACTTTACAAATGTGCTAATAACTAAAAATGCTGCTTTACAAACAAAGCTTCTCTCAACACACATATGCTGTGTGGCTCAGTTAATGTGTCAGATAAGGAAAGTCGTACATATTGTATTGTATATCATATTTATGCATTTTGTAGTCTTTTTGCCAAACGCTTTTTGACAGAAGAGTTAAAGAGCCATGGTGCTGTAGCGAGCTCAGGCATTAGCAGCAGTACAGAGAGGAGAGAATGCTGTAGAGGTTAAAAAACTTCATAGACTGTTGAAAAAAAAAATGACACTGGAAGAGGATGTTGAGATGACACATGCAGGAAAGCCGCTGTCTCACTAGCTTCTGTAACTCTCACTCAGCTTTCCTTTCCTGAAAAAAAGGGGTTTCATTTCCATATTTCTTCTTTCCATACGAGACAAATCACCGTCCGTTACAATGTAAAGGAAGTGAAACTTCTGTTCAATTAAACTGTTAAAACTTTTGGGAAATATCTGGCCACTCAACAACTGCCCAGAAATTATGCAGTGAGACTGTTAGTCAGTAAAATTGCATGCTGGGTAACTTGAAAAAAAATGAGTCTAAACTTGTTTTATATATCAGTTAATATGTGGAACTGTGAATTCATCTTCTATGCAGAGTTATCAATACAAGCAACTCCTGTCACATTTTCATTGGTTATCAAAAAAGTAGTATATGGTTGCTTGATTACTGACATGGGTCTTGCTAGATAATCCTTAGCCCATGCTTGCACAGTTATTTGTGGATTTAATTCAGTGAGAGTGTTTATGCATGTAGACTGACTTTCAGTGACTTGTTTGCCGCCGATGAAAACACTGAGGAAGAATGATGGAGGAGTGGAGAGAGGTGACATCATGCCCTTAAACTTAATAGATTCAATGTGGCGGCGATTCCCCCTGCGTAAGCGACCCGAGCCCCCTCCACCCCACTGTGAAAGAAACATTATGCTATAGTCAAATTCTTGAGTTGTTTCTCATCCCTTACTCATGCACAAAAATAGATGGCTCCTTTATTGGAAAGTTCACCGCTGCAGCACCACCTTTAGGAAACTGTAGATCTCAAGAGTTTTCGGTTTGTGGCCTCCCGTGTTGATTCAGGCTTCGAGGAGAGAGATCACAGTGAGGGCAACGGTGTGTTTGACGATTAGAGCTGACGATAAATAATGAAGAGGACCGAGGAGAAAAAGAGAGAAGACTGTATCTGCTGTGGTTGCCTCGCTCCCTGACATCATATTTGGCTACTGAATGACAGTCTTCTGGCCACTCTGGCAAATATTTCCATAGCGGAGCATTTTTGCCTGGTTTCTTTTCCACAGGTCTCCCCTCTTGATGTCTGTGTAAAAACAGGCAGAGAGAGAGAGAGAGGAAGAGGAAAAAGGAAAATGGCAGAACCAGTTCAGTGTCATCTCTGTATTGTCAGCATCTCTTACGTCTTTTTGCTCGGAGGAAATTTGGACATTCGTTTAAGTAAGAGTGCCACCAGTCAGATAAGGAAAATTCCGAAATTCTCATAAATTTTGTAAGTCAGTGTGAGTCGTACGCACAGTGGGAGTTACCGACACAAAAGACGCAACAGGGACAGCAACACAGAAGTTGGGTGTGGGGCAGACATCAAGACACATGAAGGGAAGTGACACATCCAAGACGAAACGGGTGGAAATATACTTCCGTCTCATTCCACAGTTTAGCAGAGGCATCGGAGGAACAGCAGATGCCTTCTTCTGAGCAAAGCCTGCCGCCCCCTGTCCAAACAGTCGGCTTCCTTTGCACCCGAGATGCTGACTGATGTGGTGGGTTCTGCTCAGATCGCAGCCGTGTCCCCAGCTCCTGGGTATATTTCAAATTACCTCACAGCATGACCATTCTGAACTATTTCCCACACTGCAACTCTCCCTTTAGAACGAGGTTTTACTCACCAGTTAAGATCTGGATTATTGTATCAACATTTGGTTTTAATTTGTTGAAAGAGGGCGGATTTGTCGAAGAAGTGCAATGTAAGCAGCCCCCCTGTGTACATTACCGACTGCAAATGCCAAAAGGGGCTTAAAAATGGCCTGAACCTCCATCCCTTAAATTACAGACTTGCAAGGCCAGGAATACTCTCAAAAGGAAGTGCCCAGTAAGACATAAAAAGAGGGTCTCATTGTGGGAACTGGTGGGTGCTGTGGCAGTGACCCACATCCTCTGACTCCCACCCCCTCTGCCCTTGTTGCCTGCACACATCGCACATGACCTGACCACCGCGTACGTTTTCTGACTATCCATCCCCCTGTTGCCCTCCCAGCCACAACCCAGGGGTAATTCCCATAATTTTCCATTCATCAGTGGTGCTTTTCACATTGCACTGGTGACAATGTAAGACAGTGAATCACCATTAGCAAATTGCCTTAGGGATGGCAAGGAGGAGGAAAACATCTGTTCGAAAGACAACCTCTTACACCCACCCTCTCCTTGAAAAAAAAAAAAGAGAGAGAGCGATTACAGAAACCACACTGCAGACTTTGGGGTCAAATGGTCTCAACTGTCCACAGGGTGGTGTCCAAATGTACCAGTTAGTCACCGTGAGTCTGCTGACAATGTCCACAAAATGTTCCCATTGTCTTGAGTGTATTTCGGCATAACAGTTGTTTTGAATGTTCAATGGAACTTTCACTTTGACTTAACTCACCGGTAATTGCTGAATGACACCAAAATGATTGTACAGTCATTTCCTCTACAGGCAGTGATACCAGCCATCCATGACTTGGAATTCGGGGGGCAGCACTTGAAATGATGAGCAATTTAAATGACAGTTTGCTGTTGTGAAATTGTTTAACCCTTTCATATCCACAGAGACTTTGGTGCATTTACACGGTAATAGATTACTGTAAAAATAGAGCCAAATTCTACTTTCTACATTTTTTGATTAAAAAAACTGCAAAATTAGACTGCTAAGAATAAAATTGATAACTTTACGCTGATTCCCTAAGATCGACCATTTTTAAAAAAAACCTTTTTTATTGTTCTTGTTTTTTTTTACATCAGTTATTTGTCCTTGGTTTCTAAAATGTGTATTGTATAAAAATATATACTTTTCCTCATCCTCTTCTTTTTTTTTTTTTTTAGAGGTATATGCATTTTAAAGATTAGATCTTAGTTCTGGTTTAGAAATTTTAAAGACATCCCAGCAAACAGGAACCTTCAGGGAGCATTTTTAGAACTGGTATTATTTATGTCTGCAATTCCGAGTAGTGTTAATACAACGCCAAAGAAGAAAACGGTGTAATTCACAGATAACGTTACAGCTGTTGATTATGGTGGCAACTCCTTATAAAAGCAGTATGCAATCAGAAAGTGTTGTCACAGTATCAAACAAAGTATAAACCAGATATTCTACGATATAGTAATGTAATCAACTACACAATAATTAGCTGTGTAAGTTAATTACTATTGGAAAACTGAAAAAAAACTAAACAGAAAAATACTGGAGACCACAGCTGCTAGTATTTTACTGTAGTTTTACAGTTTTAACTGTAGTTTCTTTTTAAACAGTTTGCTATATATATTTTTTTTACAGCTTATCCCTGTTTTGTTAAATTACAGATAATAACTGGTTATTTCACAAGTTAACAACAACAGAAACTGGGCAAAAATCTTTATTCTATTTATTTATTTATTTTTTTACTTTTTTTGTTATTTTTAACTGTATTTAAAGCTGAAAAAAGCTATTTTACAAAAAAAAAGCATTGGAATATATATATGTATGTAATTATTTTACATTTATTTGCTTCTCTCAATATAAAGGCCCTCATATTTGCACTCTTAATTGTCATACCTTCTGATTGCATTGTTATGTTGGTATGTTATGTTGCTGTACATTTGTGCTATAACAACGCACTCCGTAGCTTCTGAAATAAGGGGAAACTGGAAAATTTTGGAGGATACTGGATTTCAAATGATGAAGATTAACTACTGAGTCATTGTTCATAAACGCCAGTCAGTGGAATTTCAAAATTCTGGGGCAAACCAACAAAGTATGTCATAACTTCTGGGGTTAAAAAGTTCTTTTGCAAAATGACATAAGAATGAACATGCTGCCAGATATTACTCAAAGCAAAAACAAGTCTACGCTGTGATGAAATACAAGAACTTTCCCTCATAGTGAATGCGTTACTTTACAGTTAGCACAGAATCCAGCATGATTACTCAGGAATGAGTCACATCAAGTGTAAAGCACTCTCTCCCCTATACCTGACTAAATCACTGCTGTGCTGAAGAGTAAGTAAGGGCGGCTGTGGCTCACGTGAGAGTGCTTGTCCTCACAAGGATCACAAGGTTTGATCCCCAGCCCCTCCACAGTCGAAGTGTTCTTGGGCAAGACACTAAACCCGAAGTGTGAATGGGTGAATGAGAAAACATTGTAAAGCACTTTGAGTACCACCAAGGTAGAAAAAGTGTTATATAAGTGCAGATCATTTCCCATTTAAGTATGGAGGAGTCATCCTTAAAAAGCCACACTGATCACATAATCTTTCAAAGTGATCAGCTGGTTTGGTGCAGCCATAGACCTTCACTTCTTCGCAGCCTCTGAGTCACTGTTTAACTGTTGCTGTTACTGTTTAACTCACCTGCCCGGACATGTACGCCCACATGTTGTCAAAGTGTGACTGTTGGCTGTGTGAAGCAGACATGCAGAAAGACTTGAAGACAGTCTGGTGTGTGCTGAAAAAAACAACTGCTGGGAAGATTCCATGATTCATGGAGAGGAAACTGCTTTATTCTTGATCAAAATCTTTTAAAAATAAAACCTTATGTGATGATGCTGAATCAGGCTAACATACTTGAAGTTTGTTGTTTTTGTTCTGTTGCAGAAAAGTGCTGTGACAAATGTAACGATTTCACATAAAACTGTTTACTAAGCTTGTATTATCTTAGCTTTACCTAAATGATTATTTCTATATATTAGAAGATTTTTAATCTAGCCTCTAGTGGGGATTTTGATAAGAAGGCCAATACAAGTCTCATGCTACAGTTGCCTATCATTATATAAGACTACAGCATGCTACTTTAGCAAAAGCATGTAAAGAATGATCCAAAAAAAATGTGCTTGAAGTATTAAAAGCAGATAAATGTCTCTGTGATTGTTCTAGTTGTATACACTGATCGGCCACAACATTAAATCCATCTGCCTAATATTGTATGGCAGTTGGTAGCACTGTTGCCTCGCAGCAAGAAGGTTGCCGGTTCGCGTCCCGGTGGGGGTACCGGGATCTTTCTGCGTGGAGTTTGCATGTTCTCCCCGTGCAGCGTGGGTTCTCTCCGGGTTCTCCGGCTTCCTCCCACACAGTCCAAAAACATGTTGAGGTTAATTGGTGATTCTAAATTGTCCGTAGGTGTGAATGTGAGTGTGCTTGGTTGTCTGTCTCTAAGTGTGGCCCTGCGATGGACTGTCGACCTGTCCAGGGTGTCCCCTGCATTCACCCTAAGTCGGCTGGGATAGGCTCCAGCCCCCCCGCGACCCTAATGAGGATTAAGCGGTATATAGATAATGGATGGATGGATGGATGGATCATATTGTATGGCCCTCCATGGGTTTCCTGTAGTGTCTGGCACCAGGACGCTGCTTGTGGATCTTTTGGGTGCGATCTTCATGGATCTGGCTTGTAGATGCTTGATTAGATTGTAATCTGAGATGTTTGGAGGCCTGGTCAGTGCTTTGGACTCTTTATCATGTTCCTCCTGCTGTTATTGAGTAGGTTTTGTGGTGTGGCAGGATGTACTGTTCTGCTGTTGGAGGCCACTGGCATTGAGGAAGTGTGCTTAGTCTGCAGTGATGCTTACGTGGGTGATACTTGTCAAAGTGACATCCACATGAAGGCCTGGGCCCAAGGTTTCTCAGCAGAACATTGCATAATGACAAAATCAATGCCATTCATTTCACAAGTCAGCGGTTTTGAGGTTGTTGCTGAGCAGTGTCTATTATATATCTGTATATACTGATGCATTCATGCAAAAGTAGCATTTTCCTGCAGTTAAAAGGATTTGATGTCTCTCAAATGAACACTTTCCATTGCCGAAACTTTGTTTTAAGAAAAAGGAACTTGAAATTTTTTAATTTTTCAAACTTATGTATTTGCTTTATCCAAATGGAAAATATGACTTTCTTATTAGACTTATCATTCTTCCCTTGCTTTTAATCTGAAACCCCACTTGAAGAAAACTGTGGCTGATTTGCAGCACAAAAATCTGAGGAACCATGAACGTGAAATGCACAATGTTAAAACAGTGGTAAACCTACATTTTGCACTTGCATGGTATATATGTTATGTCTAATGAGGTGAAGCTACAAATCAATCTAGTGATTCATTAAACTTGGGGCCCCACTATACTTCTGGGTCTGTGTGTCATCATTTATGTTTTCTTGTGAGGGACCAGTTGGATCTTGAAAGAACAGTACATGCAGACAAGAAATCACTTTATTTAAAACAATATATGCAGGTAAGGATACTGATTTTCATGTAAACACAAGTTACTTGAGGTTTCCTAAATTTGTGGTGATATGTTTCAAATGAATCATTAGCAAAAAAAATAAAAAATCACATTGATCAGAAAATTAAGCACTGATTGCAGTTTACTGAATACTGAGACAAGCTGATCGTACTGTATGTGAGAATAAACTTTGCTGGCTCAGACATACTCTGGTCTCACTACAAACTGGTAGGTGTATTTGTCATCAGGACAGGGGTAGGAAAGGACTTGGGTATCATTCACAGTGATAGGAGCCATGTAGCCTTTGAAGCCTTGAACCTGACAGACGTACTTGCCTTTGCATATCATCAGGAGCTGGTTACGGAAGAGGATGTTGCTCCCCTGTTGGATTTGATTTTGTGGGACCAGCCTTGCCATAGGAACCGACTCGCACCTGAGACCCTGGTTTGAACACTCGTACTGACTCTGGAGGATATATGCCCTCCAGCTGATCTTCTTGTCCTTAAAAAGCAGGCTGTTGTGGGCAGGTGTGCTAAAGAACTTGGTCATGCTTTGACTATATAAATAATTTTGCTGATAACGTCTGTCATATCGGCCAGCGTACTGATATTGTGTCTTTCTGGTTGAAAGGTCAATAACAGCACTCCAAGGCTCAGCAGTGTAGATCCTGGGCTGGTAATCATCATTATGCTTGTTGTACTTTGGGTTAGTCAGATTACCAAAGAGCAGAACATTAAACTGAAAGGCTTTCAACATGTTCTCAAGATACATATCCTTATGAGCGCTGTAGAGAAGGGAGCTAGAATCCAACTCATACAGTTTCTCAGCAGGGATCATAGGGAAACGAATGCGACTCAACAGGTCAACCTGGGTTTCCAAACTGGTGGACTTGCCCATTTCTGTGATCCAGCTCTCTACGCTCTGCAGCACAAAATACTCGTCTGGCACCACTAAATCTGAGCGGGTTAGAAGAGCCCCAAGGAGCTCCACTGAGATGCCGGTCCACGCTGGAGACATGGTCAAGTTTTCATAGTTCCAGGCCATGTACCTGAGACAGTTTTCCTCAAGGATTAAGTCCTTAGTCCCCACTGCATATTTGTAAATGGAAACCTGATTTTGGAAGGTGTCGTCATCTGGGAGGATTTTAGAAAACAGCCGGCCTATGTCTGCCTTTAGCTGCTCTATTCCAAAATTGGAAGCCAGTTGGTGGAGGCACAGTGCAGAGGAGAAGGTCACATCCATCTTACGGGTGTAAATGTACCTAATAAAAACCAGATTGTTAAAAACTGACAAGATATTGTTTGTTAAAGTTGTTTTTGATTGGCTTTTCTTTCTAGCAAAAGGCTCACATAGCACCATAGCAATATGCATCATGTATTGCAAAACAAGTCATAAAAGTGTGAGTGTACCTGATGAAGGAGGTGAAATGTGGCAGGCAGGACGGGTTGATATTGATTGTGATGTTAGCGATCCCCACTGAAGCTTTAAAGAGCGGGAATTGTGAGAGGATCACTTTGTGAGCACAGATTGTTGTCTCAACCATCTGCGGGGTCCCATCGTCCTGTTTGTTTCCACTAGGACTCCGGACAAAGATCCGGAAGTCACAGTCGTTCCCACTGTCAAAGATTTGGCCGAGGTCATCAGACAGACTGATACTGTGGTCCAGTGAGTGTGTGGAATCACTGATGGTCTTATCAGCACCTGGAATCACAATATCATTGGAATGACAAAACAAAAAGACGAGCAATGAGCTGCCATCATGTGTTCTACAAGGGCCTTTCGCCTTGTTTCGATACCTACTTCCAGTTTCACAAATAACTCCAACATCCTCTTTGTGAGAGCAGTCAGTTTCTCCCCAGTTACTAAAAGCACAAGTCGCCAGCTGCTTCTCAGTGCCTTTACAGTTGATGTCATCCAGCCAAATAGGTCCAGGTGCTACGATGTAAAAGAAAAAGGAACACCTTAAACAGTTCCCATACTTCTGAATTCATATTGTGTGCATGTTAAACTTGAAATCACAACTCCTCACTGATTACAATCATTGCACTGCCCTCTGGTGGGGGATCAATGGAAGTAAAGGGCACCTTGTCCATAGTTCTTTCCAATGACGACAGATTTGGCTCCAGGGAAGTTTAGCTGACGACACACCACCTGGGCCTCGGCCATGTCCCAGTTGTCGTCACAAACTGTTCCCCATATCCCATCATGGTAGACCTCCACACGACCCTCGGAAATGTTCTGGGAGCCAAACAGCCTCACGTCACCTTCCTGCGGCTTCAGGTTTTGATCTGTGTGCACACAGGTGGTATTAACCAGGGGCATGGCAACAGAGATGTTTTACAAGCACATACCATGATCTGCAGTTTGTTCTGAACTAAATTATCGTGGTCAGAATATATCTGTAAAAGTACACGATAAAGGCACAGCATACACAGAGTCATATTTTGTGTATGATTATGCAACAAGCAATGCTATAATCGCTATAATAATGCGTTGCATTTCCATTAATCGCCTGGCACAACTGTGAACAATTTCACACAAATAAGTAGTACTTTGGATGACTTACTGAACAAGTTAAACTTCATCGCCCTTCCGGAGACATTCAGAAGCAGAAGAACCCACACAGTGGAGAGAGTTCGATGGACAAGCATTTCCAACTGCCTGTGCAGGACTGATGCAGATTGACGAAACAAAAAGAAGCAATGTGTGGAAAAAGCGCTCTGTTGTCTTCCCCTTTGCAACGTAAAAATATGCTTTGAAGGATTATAAGTCAAAGAATTAAGTGGTAGTTTTGTTTCTTGTCTTTTTCATGTGAACCTACATATTGTTGCTACGTATTTATACTTCCTATTATAAAATCACAGTAGCTTTGCATGGATTTTAGTATAGGCATTAATACGCAATACGTTTTGAATCAAAACTGAATCTGTACATTAATAATTAAAGGTCAAACTGTCTTCATTTTGTAGATATTGACGGTATAATGAAGCAACATTACCTTCTTTCTCTGATGAAACTGTGTTGTCCTCAAACGTGCTCCTTTATGAGGTTTGTGGTACAAGTCAAACTCCTTTTATAACCCCAAAAAAGTGGGACGTTGACTCTATACAGTTATACTCCCTTCTCCTTTCCCTAAGTTCCGTTTCGCTGAAAAACAAACTTAAAATGTTGCGCAACCGCTTTGTGTCCAGTCCAAACTTGTTTGACTGCAATCTATCAATGTCTTTGTACTAATCTGGCAGAGGCACCCGCATGTGAATTAAATGACACGACTCAGAAAGT